AAATCGGGGGCCACCAGTATGTGGGGATGCAAATGTGACAGCTGTCCTGGCCCACAGCACCCAGGTCCAAGTGAGGGGGTAAGCTTGGTGCCTATTTCCCCAACGATTCTTTGTGTGACCCCTGTTTTACAGACAAACAAAGAGGTTGTGGGAGTCAGGTGCTTAGAGGTCAAATGTGCATCCTGGCCGGGATTGTCCCATCACTGTTTCCTACAGACTTGACATAGATCCTCGTTTCAGGTTTTTAGGAAGAGTGAGGAAGTGTCTCCTCTCTTCCTTTCACTGAGAAAGAGGTAGATGGTACCTCAGTGTTTCTCTGGGACTTCTCCATTTAAAGGTGCCCTTTTCTCGCCAAGAAAGTATCAAAAGTCAGAGTCAGATATGGGCCATTCCTCTGACACCCACTCTGTTCTTCCTCCACTTCCCCATCAGAGTCTCATGATCACCCTTGGAAGATTCCTGCAGGGTAGGGCCACGGCAGAGCAGATGCAGTCTCGGCCTCTGCCCCTTCGAGTGGTACCATCAAGCTGAAGACGCAGGGCCGTTGTATTATTCAAGGACACCCTGAGTGGCCAAGCGCCCTGCTCAGAGGGGTGTGGTTTGCCTCTGGTTCTAGGGAGCACACACCATGGAGGAGGTAGAACGAACGTAGGCAAGAAGCGGTGAAGACTAGAAGCCAACAGAGAATAGTGTCCAACCCTGGCGCGAGTCAAGACAGTGCTGAAAGCGGGTTTGTGGTTGTGAAGGTCGAGGCTGGCATGTGGCTCAGAGGGAGAGCTGCAGGTGTGCTGAGTGGCGCCGTGCACATGTGCTCCCACAAGCAACTAAGCCTCGGGACACTGAGGAGGCCTCGGCCTCCACCCTCAGGCCTCCTGCTGGGTGCATCCTAGGGGTGCCCCTTTGATTCCTGGCACTGCAACAGAGAGTAGCCCTGCGCACCCTCAGTCCGGGCGTGGCTACCCCACCTCTGCCCCTTCCACACACGCTCCCATGAGCACAGGCAAAGGTTGTGATCAGTCCAGTCACGCAGCAGTTCAACCGGTGCCTCTCCTGGGGATTACTTGGTCCAGGTCTGTTCGACCCCTCATTGCAACAACAAAAATACAGAAATGGAACGTTAGAGGAGAAAACGCGGTAAATTATACATTTTACACAACAAAACTCACTGTCATCAATACAGAAATAAAGCACAGCATAGATTAACCGATCAGTGTCTCAGAATGTATCTCACAAACTCGATGTTCAGTACAGGAAAAACTCTTGGGGGGCATGGAATTTCGGACCACAGCTGGTGACGTACAGAGTTACTCTGTACTCTGAACTGAAGAATTACTCTTGGTGGTGCTCAGGAGACCATATTGGATGTCAGGGATGGAATCGAGGTCGGCCCTGTCAAGGCAAACACCCTCCCCACGGTACTATCTCTCTAGCCTCTAAAGAACTCCTTTCATAATGCAAACTTGCCTGTTGGAGTGAGTGTGTCAGCACTTAATTTGAGGTTATGCAGTGAGATTTCATGTTGAGTAGCCACGAGGGGTCTCACGCACTCAAGGGCTAGTTCTTTCTGCTTTGTTGCTAAAAGGTCTACCTCAGTACGTAATTTGTTTTGAGGCCAAACTTAGCCTTGTGTTCAGTGCTCACTAGTACCCCTGGCTGTAAGCGGGACCATACGCAGTGTTGGGGAGCAAACCAGGGTTAGCAGCATGCAGAGCATCAGATCATCCTGTTTCCGTTATTACAAGCTGTAATAAGGAAGTGTTCAAAAGAATCAAACTGTATATAGGAAAGCAGAAAAAGGGGGGAATAATGGGTGCTCACATGTTATTGCAGTAGCTGCACATTCTGTGCTGGGGAGGCTCGTGGTCTCAGGGCAGCTCTGGTGGCCTGAGATCCTAGTGGCCCTGCAAAGGGTTTTTCTTAGTGGGACCCAAGCCCCTTCCCGATGTGCTTACTCTATCTCTTTTTCTTCCACAGCGGAAAATGTAGCCAAAAAATATCAAGTGAGTCGCGAAGAGCAGGACAAGCTGGCAGTCCTGTCCCAGAACCGCACGGAGAGCGCGCAGAAGGCTGGCCATTTTGACAAAGAGATTGTGCCCGTGTTCGTGCCATCGAAGAAAGGTGGGCACTGAGTCCACGTGGGCCACACCCAGATGGGGGTCCTGCCGCGCGTGTGAGGGCCATTGAGGGCAGGGGGGTTGGGGTGCCGAGCAAAACACCCTCTCAGTGCGTGTGAATCCGTGCTGGGCTGGGGGTCAGGGGAGGGGCCAGTGGCCATCAGCCACTCTGGGTCCCGATGTCCGCGCTGCCGTGTGGACCCCGAGCTTTCCCAGCAGCTGGAGCGTGGGGCCACAGCTGCGAGCGGACTGGTGCCCTCCAGGGGGACTCTCGGGAGTGTCGTTTCTGGGTCCCTCCCTGCTGCTCTGGGTGACCTGGCCAGGGCCTCACTGTGTCTCTGTCGGTTGCGTTACCGAAACATGTCTGTGCTCCTCAGCCGTTATCTGATTGGCTTCGACATCCCCGTGGCCGTCTGTTGAAACCCGCCACGTCCTGCACCCCACACCATGGTCACCTTTGCACAGGGAACAAGGATGCCTGTCACTGCTTTGCCGAGAAAGGGCTGTGGGCCTCAGGCCCTCGAGGCTCCCGAGACAGTGTGTGCAGGGGATAGGCCTGCGCTTCTGGCTCTGTGCACTTCCTGCTGCTGCCATGGAACCTTCTTTGTGCAGATCGGAATCCTCGGGTCCCGGGACTGAGGGGCGCGCTGTCCCGAGCGCACGTCTCTAGACTAATGAGGGTCATTGATTGCCTCCTTGCAGGTCTCACTGAAGTGAAAGCGGATGAGTTTCCTCGACACGGCAGCAGCCTTGATGCCATGAGTAAGCTTAAGCCGTACTTCCTGAAGGATGGGACAGGAACAGTGACCCCTGCAAATGCTTCAGGTGGGGCTTTCTGATGGCGAATGCCAGCATCTCTTGTCTACCACCTGCTTATTTTTAATGTGATTTATCCTAAAGCCTCAGTTGCTTTATGGGAAATGCAATTTCTCCATATTTGATCCTTCTCCATATCTGATTAACTTCAATTAGGCTGGAAGATGGTGTTTCATTACCCACTTTTTAACAGGGAATCTGAGCTGTTTCGTTACTGTGAGTGAAAAGGAAAACTTGCAGCATCTTCTGTGAGGGCTGTATTATTACTTTCATTTTTCTCCATCCCCAACTGCTGTCATTTTTCCTATTTCCTCCAAGAATGTTTGTTCTCAGCTGTCATACTGTGCTTCTGTCTTTCCCCCTAAATACGTGCCAAGTGCTTTGCCAAGACACGTGAAGCACAGCTGTGGTCCTACCTCGTGGTCCACAGTGGTTGTGGAGCTGGGTTGGTGAGCACTGGAGCATGAGCCCCACCTGTCTTCCAGGAATTAATGATGGCGCCGCTGCTGTGGTTCTCATGCGGAAATCAGAAGCTGTGAATCGTGGGCTGACACCTTTAGCTCAGGTTGTTTCCTGGGCACAAGAGGGTGTGGACCCTGCCATCATGGGAACAGGACCCATCCCAGCGATCAAGCAAGCCGTGAGTTTCTGTCACTTTGCTTGTTCTTTGCTTTGGATGGAACCTGCATGGAGCCGAATGGCTTTGCTCACTATTTTGTTATGGAATTTGCCTTTAATGTTTTCGGGAGACAAGTGGGCTTCCGGGACTATGCCCTCCTGTCCTATCGGACCTTGGGGATCCTATGCAATTGCCTGTGAACCTGTGTCTACCCCATTGTACTGTCTCTGGCCTGTCTTACTAGTCTTTTCACGTTCCCTACACTGTGACCATTCAGGATATTGGGGTATGTCTTCTTTGGGGTCTAAATATTCTAAAATTTTGGGGGCTGTAGCAATAGCACAGCAGGTAGGGCGTTTGCGCGGCGGACCTGGGTTCGATTCCCAGCATTCCATATGGTCACGAGCACTGCCAGGGGTAATTCCTGAGCGCAGAGCCAGGAGTAACCCCTGTGCGTCGCCTTTCAACTTTTCCGGTTGAGGCAGTCAAGTGTGAGACACGCTTGCCTAATGCAGGAACACAAAGTGGCGGTTTTCAGAGAGCCTTGCTTTGTGTTTGCAGTGCCAGGGACCAGTCAGGGTCCTCCATGGGCATGTGACCCAGTGCTGTACTTGGCAGTACATTCTGCTTCACACCCAAAGTGAGGAAATTTCTACCCAAGCTTTCAGACCTCAAATCTATTCTCCTTCCAGGTTGCAAAAGCAGGTTGGTCCCTGAGTGATGTGGATGCCTTTGAAATCAACGAAGCGTTTGCAGTGCTCTCTGTGGCCATAACGAAGGAACTGGGATTAGACCCAGAGAAGGTAAGTGGGAACGAGCAGTCCCCAGAGCTAGAGCAGGGTGGCAGGAGGCAGAACCCAGGCACTGGCCGAGGCGGGGGTAGACAGTGCTGGGCCTCTGGGGGCTGGGGGCGCCCCTTCCTGCACCTCCTCCCTCTTATATTCTGTCCCTCATGGCGCTTATATGGGAAGGAGCCCAAGGGAGGGGTCAGTGTGGTAATGGGAGACACTGGTGTCCTCAGCAAGGACAGTGACAGGTGTGTGAGAGGGTCAGAGGTGAGCAGCATGGTTGGGGATGGGGGGGGGGGGGCGGGGGGGCTCTGTCTGCCTCCCGTGGGAGGGGTGTGTGGGGAGACGGTGGTCGGGGCCGGATCCCTTCATGCAGGGCCAGAAGGATGTCGTGTGCTTCCCCCTCAGGTGAACATGCAAGGAGGGGCGATCGCCTTGGGCCACCCCCTGGGAGCATCTGGCTGTCGGATTCTCGTCACCCTGCTGCACACTCTGGAGCGCACGGGGGGCCGTCGTGGGGTCGCCGCCCTGTGCATCGGGGGCGGGATGGGAATAGCCATGTGTGTGCAGAGAGGCTGAGCGTCAGCGTGCACTTCTGCCCTGAAGCTGCCTCAGAACGGAGTGAGGATGGACGCCACCCCGCGAGTCAAGAACCCAGGCCTGTCAGCTTCTTGTTCTTTTAATGTGTAACACGCAAGGTACGGGACAGGGGTGTCTAACATGGTCATAAATAAAAGCGGGCTCAGTCATCAAGGGCGCCCGAGTGGACGGCATCTTCGTAACCTCCGTGCTTATCGTCTTTGCTTTCTGGGTGTAATTTAATCAGATCATCAATCCGAAGAATGGTAATCGCGGCTTCTGTTGCAAACTTCAAACTCTTTATCTTAACTATGGTTGGTTCAAACACCCCAGCTTGCTTGTTGTCACGAGGCTTGCCATTGACCAAATCTAGACCAATCCTGTATTTAGGGTAAACAAAACATCGGGTAAATAGCAATAAGCAAGCAACCCTTTCTTCGGCATGTCTTTCAAAACTCACTTGGGAAATGATGGGACAGATGATTAACTACTGAACTAGCTGTTTATGACAAAGTTGGTAGTGTAAATACTGTACAAAGGACTAGAAAATAACTTCTAAATATAACTGGACAATGGCAGCAACATGGTTGCTCGCCTTACTGCACCCCAGAAAACACGCAGCCAGTGAGACAGGTGCAGGGCGCTGGAAACAGGTCAATGTACCAGTTTCTGTCTGCAAAATCATACACACTCGCGCTCCACACCCACATCACAACAGAAAAACACCAACTGTATGTGGAAAACCAAGCCAAGGACATGGATCCCCGCAAGTCAATCTCCCTGGAACTGTCCTCAGATGAACAGCAGGGAGAGGAGAGAGATGCACTGGTCCCTCAGGCACGAAATGCAAGCTATGACACACTGGCTAGGAACATGCATGCAAGGACATGCTCACCATTTCAGGTTTTTGCGCTCCGGGTTGACCTGGGCCTCGTTATGGAAAGCTCTCAGCTTTGCAACTAGATCCGTAGAATCTTGAGCTGCATTGACCGCCAAAGTGTTTGGGATAACTAGAAGAGATCTCGCAAATTCTGCGATAGCTAGTTGTTCCCGAGATCCCTAAAACAAGACAGCGTTCTTAGGATGAGAAAAGCTGCGCCCCCACCCCCAAGGATGAGGCCCCCGAGCAGCGTGCGGAGTGCTGCCGGCCCCCGTCCCTACCATGCTGGTGGCGTAGTTCTCCAGGTAGATGGACAGGGCGGCTTCCACCGCGCCCCCACCAGGAACTACAGACTTGGACTCCAGAACTCTCTTCACCACACACAGCGCATCATGTAAGGAACGCTCCATCTCGTCACACATGAAATCGTTCGCCCCACGCAGGATAATGGACGCCGAGGAGCGAGCCTTAGTGCTGCAGAGAAGGGAAGGTTCTCCCGTTACTCCTCTCCCCCAACCACGATCACGACTGGAGGTCCCCCGGTGCCGGCCTAAACTAGCTGCCCCAAGACACTCGATAGGCTCCACTGAGCAATGTCGAGACCACGCACTGGGGATGGAAACGGATGCTGCACCCCCATTTACAAAGGTCCCGTCACTGTATCCCACGCGTATAACTGCTCAGATCACGGTCAGAGCAGAGCAGCAAAATCAATGGGAAGGCGCCATCGAGTTCCGCAGGAAGACGTGTAGCTTTGTGAAAGCAGCCTTACTTCTTGATCAAGATCAGCTCGTCATCACAGATTCTCTCCTGTACCACCTCTTCCGCTTGTCCCAACATGGAAGATTCAAAAGTTTCTTCACCTTCCAAATTGGCCAAGGTCGACAGAATCACCGCTAGTAACATAATGGAAAAACTTATAAGCATTTTCCTCCATCAACATGTTCATATCCTGCTCAGATCCAGAAATATCTGAGAGTTCAGTGTAAGGCCTGCAGAAAGAGCTGAGGCCTGGGACCCAGTCACTGCTGAATCCTGTACACCTCGTGTCAGGAAGCAGGAGGGGCACCATGTCAGCCACGCTGCAGAAGCGGAGATCGCGGGGGAAGGGGAGCGCCCACCTAGGACATGCAATTGCCATGAGAGGGTCTCGTTACAAAAAGGCAAAGAAAACGGGCCAAGACTGCTTAATGGGTTGGTGTCTGGGTTCATCCTGTTTCCCGTGTCCCAGGGCACTGCTGCACGTGCACCCGACAGCGTTCACGGTCACGGACACCAGGGGAATGCCTACCTCCAGATGCTTTAGCAATGCGCTTCAGGTCCCTTTTTAAGACTCTCCTGACTGCCATGGAGCCAGATTCCACAAAATACTTCAGACACATGTCATCAATGCCGCCGGTGGTAAGGATGACATTGGCCCCTGTTGCCAGGATCTTCTGGATTCGTTCCTTGGTAATATCTGATTCTCTGTGGAGAGAAAAGAATTTGAGAAACAACCTGAAGTTAGCCTGGATTTTTATACCACTCCTCTAAGCATTAACCCCCATATTAAAACCAAAAAAAAATTTTTTTTTGGGCTCTTTGAGTCATATCCGGCAATACACAGGAATTCCTCCTGGCAGTGTTTGGGGACATATGGAACGCTGGAGATCAATCCTGTTCGACTGCAAGGCAAATGCCCTTCCTACTGTACTACCGCTCTGACCCCAAAATAAGTGGTTAATAATCATGATTCTGTAAAACTGAGAACCTTGGGTAATTCAAAATTTCTAGCTCTTCCATCTTCCAATCTGAAGTAGGAGTCAGTACAGAAAGCAGTGAGGTTTTTTTTGGGGGGGGAGGTATGGGGGATGGCACACCCAGTGATGTTCAGGGGTTACTCCTGGCAACACTCAGAGGAAACATACCGGATGCTGGGGATCGAAACCTCGTCATCCCTGTGCAAGGCCCACGCCCTACCCGCATACTCCTGCTCTGGCCCAAGACAGGGCTTTTATATTCAAGGCAGTTGGCAGGGGTGTGTGGAGTGCCTCAAGTCTGGCATCCTTAGAGGGTCCAGAGGTCAAAGTGCAGGGTGAAACAGGAAACCAAGTTAGACTGGAACCAAGAAGTTTCCTCATTCACCCCTTTGTTTTTGGGTCAGACCCAGCACTGCTGGGGGATTAGGGGGCCACAAAGTGTTAGGGACCCATCAGGGCAGAATCATGTGATCCAGCTAGCTGGCATTCACTGTTCTTTTTAGGATGCCTCACCTCAGACCAGGGCTTCACAGTTGTGAGGGGACTGCTGAACCACTGTCATACAGTGCGTGGGCCACTCCTGGTAGGTGGCCTATCTTCAAATCTGCATGCAAGATCATGCCCCCGACCATTAAGAGATTCGAGCGAAAAGAACTGCTCATGATGCCAATGCAGAGATACTGGGAAGAAGAGAAGGAAGCAACGGCTGGAACTAGAATGTCTCCCGAGTGGCTGAGGATTAGGTTCAAACTGAAGATTTCGTTTGCTTCAAGTTAGCCTGTCCTCTGGTACAAAGAGCAGGCTACGGGAAGAGAAAGAAAACTTTCCAGTCCAACAAAATGACTCTGGGCCCTGTATCATGCTGAGGCTGCAGGAAGCAAACGTGCAGCTCATAAGGCATGAGAAGACACAGCCTTGGAAACAGCTGGATGGAGAACCAAGCCGTTTCCCTTTCCACTCAGACTTGTGCTAGACTGCTCAGGGAACATGTTTACAATAGTGCTAACGCTTATGGTTACTACACCCTGCCACAGGCCACGGTAGGACCCTAGCCAGCCTCTATCCTGTGTCCCAGACACAACCTGCTTGAGCATCTCCGGCTCGTCACTGTTCACTTTCCATGGCCCTTCCTTTCTCCCCAGACTACAGACGAGACCGGCCTTGGTCCTTCTCTCTGACCTACTTCGCTTCACTTGATCCCTCCCGTTTCATCCAGGCTGTCACAGCAACTAAGAACTTAATCTTTTTCTTAGTTGTGCTACATGCCACTGTTGTCCGTACCACAGCTCCTTGCCCCCTTCACCAGTCATTGACAGAGCCTTTTAAAGGGAAACGCTCATCTCAACCATCAGAGCCCATACTTTAGGGCCTGGGGAGAAAGTACAGCAGACAAGGCGCTTGCTTTGCACACAGCCAACTCGGGTTCGATTCCTGGCATCTCATATGGTCACCCAAGCCCACCAGAAGTAATTCCTGAGTGCCAAGTGTGGCCCCAAATCAAAAAAGGGCAATTAGGGGTGTTTTCTAGCCTGAGCTAAGAGAGGTATCCCACATCAATAAAACTGCAAGAGCAGATGGGTGAGTACTGTGAGATCAGTTTTTAGGCGTATGGGCTCTAAGATGCTTAAACTGCATTCCTTTCTACAAGTATGCGCCAAGTTCAAAAAACACATTTGGGAGTCTCTACCAGAGGGCGGTGTCTGAAGCCATGGAGAGAAGAGAGAACAAGAGGGTGGATGCCAACTTCAGAGACAGAGGCAGTGGTACCACAACAACACCCCCACCCGCTCCGAGGAGGGAGCAGTCAAAGGCCTGATCAAAGGCCCAGAAAAGGAAGATGGCAACAGGCTGGTCAATTTCGCCTTGACCATGCAGTCTCCCACTGCTAAGGGGAGGGAAAAGGGGGCAAAGGGGGCGGGAAACACAAGCACCAGAAACGGAGTCCTGTAAATCACGAGGGCGACCGAACTGTAGACAGTATGGTGGGTAAGGCCCTTGGCCTTGCATGCCAACCTGGGTTGATCCCCAGAACCACAAAGGGTCTCCTGAGCCCTGCTGGCTGGGGCTCCCCGATACACCCAGGAACAGGAGGGTCAGAGACAGTACACAGAATATGGCTCTTGCCGTCTGTGTCTGATCCAAGCTCGAATCCTTGGCACCACACCTGGTGCCCCGAGTACTGTTAGGAGTATATTCTAAACACAGCTGGGTGTGGCCCCCAAACAAAACACCTAGTAAGAGTGGGGCAAAAAGTTGACCTGGAGGGTCGACGAGATGCCGTGAAGGAGGCAGGCCCAGATTCAGTCCCTGGCAACCCCTGGGCACTGTGCTGGGCTAAACTGCCTCCCCAGCCCCAAAGTTTCTGCTTTACGGAGGAGCAAGCCTGAAGCTGAATGTGGAAAGAAACAAAGAGTAGGATTAATTAGCCACCCAAGACAGCTAAAACGCCACGGAGGAAAGCTGAGGGCAGGAGACAGCAGACAGACTGGGGAACTTAGCCAGAGAAAGTGGCCTTGGTGGGAGGAAATCACACACCCGGTGGCTGTTCTATGCCACGTGTCCTAAGGAGAAGCTGATTTACAAACAGCCCTTTCAACAGCCAGCGCAGGGCCAGAGAGAACAGTCTAGCAGGTAGGGTAGTTGCTTGCATATACTGCTCGGGCTCAACCCCTGCATTGCATAAGCTCCTGAGCCGCGCCAGGAGTGATCCTTGAGCAGAGCCAGCAGGAAGCCTGGAGCACCGCCAGGTGTGCCCAAAACACAGGCACCCCGAGTCCCAAAGCAACTGTCAACGTACCTCTGTCTAATCTGGTCCAATTTCTCAGGGTCTGAAATAACCACCTGCACTCCAAGCTTCATCTTTGTTTTCTGCAGACTGAAGTCAAGGCAAGCGATTTTTGCATTGACTATTCTCTTGGGCATGCCTAGAATAGACCGTCAGAGCCTTTTACAGCAACCAGAACAATGCAGAATCTCATAAAATGCTTACACCTATTATACATGTCAATCTCTACTACATAAAATAACTTAAAACGTTATGTCCCATGTAAACAGGCAAATGAAAATTTTTTGGGAGGCGGGGTGGTGTGGGCCACAGCTGGTAGTGCTTGGGCTGGGGGGGGGAGGGGTCACCCCCAGCAGAGCTCAGGGAAACTGTCCAGCACCAGGAACTGAAGTCAGTTGTACGCATGCCAAGCACCTTAATCCCTGTATTATTTCTCCAGCCCACAAATTTATTATCTTGACCATAAAAATTCAGTGCTGGGGAAGTAGTTTGCAGGCACATGACTCACGCTCAAGTGTCTGGGCCTTGATCTGCATCTTCCCTCTGGCCTCCAGGCCTGATGGGGCGCCAAATTCTCCTCCCTCCGCCCCACCTGAGGCTGCATCTTCCCTCCCCCGCACTGCTCTGCCACTGCCTCTTCCCTCCACCCCCCCCCACACCCCCGATTTGGGGCAGTGTTGCCAAGAGCAGCTGGGCTCTCTGAATACTACTCGGCTGTCCCAACCCTCCACAACCCACAAAGCAACACATTTGGGTTTGTTTTTTTTAACAGTCTTAAAATGCATGCGATTTGTTCTATTTTCCTTTTACAGAAACTGACCACAGCATGTAGATTTCCTTTCCTCAGGGCACTCTGCTCACCAGCAGCGAAGTGCATATTTGGGGTAATTAACATGAGAATGAACTATATGCAGGTCACAGAAGGCAAATTCCAATGCAAGTCCTTTGTTTCTTTTGGTGAATCTGGAGCCTTACCTTGGGACCCAACCACACAGTTGAGCGCGTAGCCATTGATGAGCAAACTCTCGCTCTGACTTCTTCCGTGGGCTTTGAGAATATTCACGGAATTTACGGGATAGCGAGGCTGGCCTCTTGTATCTGTGTATTTAACAGCAAGCACAGCATCTACCACCATGTTGGCAAAGAAATCACCATTTCTGGGTCAACGGTTAAGGAGAACAAGGTTTGGAATAAACAAAGGGCATGTAAGAGTTTTAGTCCGGCAGTTTGCGGAGTGCTGGGGGCTGGTTACCACCGTCTGTCTTTCATTAGAGTCATAGCCTGATGGCTCCTTTCCCACCAAAACGCAAGGGCAACAATTTGAAAAAAACCCCAGCACACCCCCTCACCACCCATAGTCAAGACTAAGCATTTTAACAAAGCCTAAGCTTCCCTGGAGTAAAACAAAGGATACATTCCAATGATTTTGGAAGACATTGAGGTCTTAGCTGCATTGATCAGGCAATCCCTTCCAAGCTCATCCGTGTTAATAATTAGGTTTTCATTGATGTAACGCACCGCTTCCCTGTTTCGAGCGTGGGAGAGAGCACACTTTAGGCGGCTGGCAGGCTCCCACATAATGCCCTTCCCATCCAGTTTACACACCACCGTCACCAGTTTTCTGTCCTGCCGTTTCATATAGAAGGAGGGCACGGAGATACCCTCCCCCTTCAGATCCCGGCAGTTTCACTCTCTCCCACAAGCATAGCCACGAAAATCCACCGGTAGGAGAAAATGTGGCAGTCAAATGGGAAATGCCGAAATGCCTGCCCAAATACAACTTGTTTGGGGGCCACACCTGACAACGCTCAGGGGTTACTCGGGGCTCTGCACCAAGGAATTACTCCTGGCAGTCAGTGCTCAGAGACCAAACCTGGGTCGACCGTGTTGGAGGAAACGTAGACCCTACTTGCTACGCCACTTCTCCAGCCCCCAAGTACAACTTTCCTCAAAATGAAATTTAGTCAATCCAAACACTTGGGGCTGGAGAAAGCAACTGGGTCACCCTCAGACCACAGGGCTCCCTGACACAGCGAGAGCAGGCCACAAACAACGCTGGGGCAGGGAGATAGTCCGGTGGTCCGGGCACAGGGACCCATCACCAGCACTACCCCTCCACGCCCAGCCCCTAACACCCCCCTCCAGCCTGCCTAGCCCAGCAGAGCATGGCTGGCGAGCACCCCGCCTCAAAAGAGAACATGGACGAGTATTCACATAGAATTCTCTTTTGAACAGAAAACTCTTACTTGCAAGCTAGTCGATAGCCACTAATAACCGACGTGGGATGGATTTTCTGTTTGACTAGTTCATCTGCATTTTTCAGAAGTTCTGCTGCAATGATGACCTGTTCAGAAACATTCATTATGGATACTTGCTTGACATTTCTGGGTATACAATGTAGAGGCAAAAAACCACCAATGGTTCAGGTTAAGATGTGGTACCCTTGGCCCAATAGTTTTCGTTGACGTAACGCACCGCTTCCCTGTTTCGAGCGTGGCGGAGAGCACACTTCAGAGGGCTGGCAGGCTCCCACGCAATGTCCTTGCCATCCAGTTTACCCACCACTGTCACCAGTTTTCTGTCCGGCCGTTTCATATAGAAGGAGGACACCGAGAAATCCTCCCCCTTCAGATCCCGGCAGTTTCACTCTCTCCCACAAGCATAGCCACGAAAATCCACCGGTAGGAGAAAATGTGGCAGTCAAATGGGAAATGCCGAAATGCCTGCCCAATACCAACTTGTTTGGGGACCACACCTGACAATGCTCAGGGGTTACTCAGGGCTCTGCACCAAGGAATTAGTCACCTAGGTTCTAAAAAAGAAAAAAAGAAAGAAAATTCCCTTTTAATGAACATCCAGAAATGCTTTGTAGGGGACTGAAGCAATAGCACAGCGGGTAGGGTGTTTGCCTTGCACGTGACCAACCCGGGTTCAAATCCCAGCATCTCATATGGTCCCCTGAGCACTGCCGGGAGTAATTCCTGTATGCAGAACAAGGAGTAACCCCTGTGCATCACTGGGTGTGACCCAAAAAGCAAAGAGAAAAAAAAATGCTTTGTAATTAAAATTATTTTTCTTTTGGGGCTGGAGAGATAGCACAGCGGGTAGGGCATTTGCCTTGCACACGGCCAACCCGGGTTCGATTTCCAGCATCCCACATGGTCCCCTGAGCATCGCCAGAAGTAACTCCTGAGTACAGAGCCAGGAGGAACCCCTGTGCATCGCCAGGTGTGACCCAAAAAGCAAAAAAAAATTCTTTGGAATAAGTGACAATAATTGTTATGAAAAAAAAAAATCACAAGATCATAATTTTCAGTATTTTTCAAGAGGTAAATCCTACTCTTTGTTTTAGCTCAGAAATACATACTTTCCCCCCACAAACCCATAACTGTCTCTTCACAGCCTCGGCGAGTGCACTGGCTGACCTCCTAGTCTACACCACGTTATCCCATTCACAAATTTTCTCCAAGCCAGGTAGGAGTACAAGACAGTGATGCCTGCACTAAAGTCAAAAAACACTTAAAAAATCGAATGTTTTTCTCCTGCAAACAGAAAGGACAGTTGTTGAATTTCCATAGTCTCAGACACCACATGGAGGACTGATGCTAATTCCGAAGGTCCTTGAACTGTACAAACTAGCCTTGACCATCCGTTTCAACACCTCTCCCCCAAGATGTAACTGATTTTACGAATCTCCGGGAACCCACGCACCACTGAGGTCGTTCCATCTCCCACTTCCTTGTCCTGCAGATCCGCCAGCTCACACAGGACCTTGGCTGCAGGATGCTCCACCTCCAGCAGCTTCAGAATGGTGGCCCCATCATTCGTGATGGTGACATCCTGCGCGGAGAAAACAGAGCACAGATCACCCCCAGACAAAAACATTTGTCTTCCCCAAATGCAGCACCTTCATCTTTAGTGGACCGCCCAATTCCCCCCACTCCGTTATTTACACACCGTGGCTTACAAAGTTGCTCGTGAGATTAAATATTCCAACACTGCCCAAATCTAATAAAAACCAAGCCGTCAAATACCAAATACTGAAGATCTCGCCTCTTATACCAACAAACATATTAGGATACTTACACCGATATCATCCACCAACATTTTATCCAAGCCAACTGGACCAAGGGAACTTTTGACAATATTGGCAATCGAGGCTGCTGCCATAACTGTAGATAAGGAAACAACAAAGTTAGGAAGACCAGGACCCCCAAGAAAGAGGATCTCGATTACTGAGGCAAAAATTGCGGATCGAACAATCTGCAAAGAGGCTGTGCAAAGTTCATTTCATTTCTGAGCAGTGCCTGCAAGCATGGCGTGTGGACCAAAAACATTTGAAACTGGCCTTTAAATTCATGATTCTTGGGGCTGGAGAGATAGCACAGAGGGTAGGTAGGGCGCTGGCCAACCCGGGTTCGATTCCCAGCATCCCATATGGTCCCCTGAGCACCGCCAGGGGTAATTTCTGAGTGCAGAGCCAGGAGTAACCCCTGTGCATCGCTGGGTGTGACCCCCCCCAAAAAAATTCACGATTCCCTCGACTCTCCCGCAATACGACAGGTGTTCCAGCCGGCCCAAGATTCCGGCCCTGGTGCCCCACACGGGTCCACTGCTACGAGTGACTTCTGAGCATCACCGGGTGTGACCCGCAAGCCCCAAATTCCGCCTCGTGCTAGCGCTCACCGGCCACATCCCACCAAAGCGCACGCCCGAGCCGGGGGATGGGGGAGCTCGGCCGTTACTGCAGGGTTGTGTGACAAGCGCCAGGCGCCAGTGGCCAGTCATCGACTGCAGTCACGGGGTCCCAATGGCGTTGCACCAGGGAAACTGAGGCCGCTCCCGGCGCGATGGGCACAAAAGCAAAGCGGCGGGGAGCACCGGGCGGGACTCGGGGCGGGGCCGGCACGTGCTGAGCGGCCGCTCCGGGCCTCCGGGCCTCCGGTCCCCAGGCCCACGCGACCTCCGCGGGGGTTGCGGGCGTCCCCAACCCCTCCAGCCCGGGGCCCCCGGGACCCCCGGCTGGGGGAACGAGGCCCGGCGCGCAACGACGGCGGGCGCGGCCCGGGCAGGCCGGCGCCGCCGCCCGGCAGCCCCCGGGCCTTCGCCCGCCCGTACCGTTCTGGGAGCGGATGGCCTCCCCAGTGCTGCGGTCCCCGAACACGGACAGGGGGCCCTCCATCTTCGCGGCGGGCAACGCGGCGAGGGTCGCGCGGTCTCCGGGCCGGGCGGCGGCGGCGGCGGCGGCGGCGGCGGCGGCGGCGGCGGCGGCGGCGGCGGCGGCGGCGGCGGCGGCGGCGGCGGCAGCGGCGTGGACTGGGCCCGAGCGAGGCCGCGGGTGCTGCCGGGAAACTCCCCTCGCGCCCGCCGCCCGCTGCAGGCCGCGGGGCAGGGCGGGAAGGAAGGGAGGGGTGGAGGGCGGGGCCGCGCGCCGGAAGCCGGGGGGCGGGCCTACTCGTTCCTCCACTCAAAGGGCGAGCGAGAAGGGCGCCAAGGTCGGAAAGCGGAAGTGAGTCTAGGCGCAGCGGAAGAGGCGGGGACGTTCCGCGGAGGCGGCGCGACTGGTGCGGCTGCGCCTGCGCGGAGGCATATTCTAGTGCCTTCTAGAAAAGGCGGCGGGTAGAACGGAAGTGGGAGTTGGGGGTGCGTGGTAGGCCTCGCACGGAGGAAAGGTGGCCAGGATGTCGATGCTGGGCTCGCTGTATGGGCCTAAGGGGGCTGAGTCAGGGCAAGACGGGCAACGTGGTCTGACCACTGCCGCTTCCGCCGCCCCCGTCCTTCCCCGTGCTCGACTAGGAGGTGGAGCGACAGTGACGGAAACTAGTAGCGGACCTGCGAGCCTTGGGGACGCTGGGCCGGCCCTAGTGCTAGACCCCGCCCTCAGCACCGTCTGTGTGAGGCGATTGGCTCGTTCCAGCGGCGGCCTGTACCCCGGGGTGCGCGATGATTGGAGGAGCGGCGGTGACAGACGGCCTGGTCGGCCACTCAGCGGCGAGACCCGCCGCTTCCGAGTCGAGGCTCCTCCCCCGAACGAGTCTAGGGCTCTCTCCGGAACTAATATGGCTGCGCCCAGCGAGCCGCGGCGCTGCTGGTGAGGGAAGTTGGACGAGGCTCCTCCGAGTCCTTGCCCTGCACCCGCCTCGGCGATGGCGCTCCGGGCGCGGCTCTGGGAGTTGCTGCCCGTTTGCAGGAGCCCCGGTAATTCGCCTCGCCCCGACGTTTTGTGTCGTGTCCCCCTTCGCGCGTCCCGAGCGCGGTGACAGCGGTCGCCCGGTGACGCCCCGGGCCCGTGCTGGTCCCCCCGCCGGGACCACCCCGAGCAGGTAGCGCGGCTCGGAGCGCAGAGCTCGGCGCGGGCGAGGCGGGGGACAGTGTCGGGCTGCGTCTCAGGTCCCCGTGTTTTCCGTCCCCAGGGCGCGGGGGCGCAGCGCTGGCGTCCAGCGCCAGGCCGGCGGCGAAACCGACGGTGGACCCTCAGGGAAACGACGCCGTGGCCCCCGAGTTCACCAACCGGAACCCCCGGAACCTGGAGCTCTTGGCGGTGGCCCGGAAAGAGCGGGGCTGGGGGACCGTGTGGCCGTCCCGCGAGTTCTGGCACAGGTACTGGCCCACGCCGCCGCCCAGGCCACCCCTGCAGGTGGGCTCAGCATCCGCTGGGCACCTGGGTCCGGCACCCCAGCTCTGCTGGACACCGCATGCAGGGAAGGTACCTGCACCCACCCCTGTGCTTCCTCGGATCTCCCAGCCTAGTCTCCTAAAAGGTTTTTTTTCAAACGTGTTTTATCATGCATGGTCTTGGGATTTGTTAGCAATAAGGGGTGCGTGTAGCTGTTGTATCCGGGGTCACGGAAAAGCTTCCAGAGCCAGAGTGGAAAAGGTCGAAGACAGGGACTAGTCGGAGGCGTCTGACCCTCCAGATTGTCCTTGTTGATTCGCCCAACCTCAGATGGTGCCGGGGCTTGGGGAGGAGAAGCCCTGAAGAGCCGAGGGGGATGGAGAGCAGAGGGTGCTAGTGGGTACTTCCCTCCGCTCGCTGTGTGCTCCAAAGGCCCCTTGACAGAGGGAGAGACCCCAGGCCATAGGCCAGTGAGACCAATCCTGGTGGAGGAGTCAGCTAGCATTCCGCGTAGATCACTTTGTGCTGAACCCAAATTTATCAACCATCTATACTGTTTTCACCGCAGCGAGCAGATTGAACGTTTGAGCCCCAAAGGGCTTGTTCATTTTGTTTCAGTTTGGAGCAGCGGAGAATTTTCCGTAGGAAACCCAGCCCTTCCTTTCCCTCTCCAGGCCGGGGGCTTGGATTGCGTTCTCTCCCGCAGGTTGCGCGTCATAAGGACTCAGCATCATATAGAAGCCCTTGTCGAGCATCGCAGTGGCCAGGTGGTGGTGTCGGCTTCCACCCGAGAGTGGGCCATCAAGAAGCACCTGTATAGCACCAGGAACGTGGTGGCTTGTGAGAGCGTGGGCCGCGTGCTGGCGGGGCGCTGCCTAGAGGCAGGCATCAACTTCATGGTCTACCAGCCGACGCCCTGGGAGAGAGAGTCACACTCGGTGAGTGTTTCCACGTGTCTGTTCACCCATCGTCTCTGTATTTCTTTTTTTCTTTTTCTTTGTTTTGCTTTTTGGATCACACCCAGCGATGCTCGGGGGTCGCTCCTGGCTCCGCACTCAGAAATTACTCCCGGCAGTGCATGGGGGGGACCATATAGGATGCCAGGGATCGAACCTGGGTCAGCCATGTGCAAGGCAAACGCCCTACCTGCTGTACGATTGCTCCGGCCCTCGTCTCTGTATTTCTTGATGTTAGGTACAGAAAGTAGTTGTGCTTGCTCCGTGCCTCCCAGGTGGAGGTCCTGTGAGGCGTACCTCAGGGTCAGCAGTAAGTGTTCTGGATCTTTCTGGATCTTCCATGACCGTAGGCTTGCCTGGAGCCAGTGTGGCAGGAGCACTGTTTCTAGAGACCTGACGACCTTTCTTTCCTATTCAGATTTTAACATCTTCAGCGCTGATCCTCTGCTTTGGTGTTTCTCCGGTCGTGGCCCCCTCCGGCCTGGTTTCCTTCCTGTGGCTCCACGTTCCTGCTGGTTTCTCGCCTGGTCGGGGGCCCATACGGCCTCTGGTTGAGAAATGCTGCACTCCTCCTATTTGTTCCCTTCTGTCATCATTAAGTTCACTTTCGGAGGGGCCAGGAGATGGCTCCGAGGGCTGGAGCGTGTGCTTTGCGGAGGCACCGAATGCCTCCCAGGTCCTGGGCCGGGAGGAACCCCTGAGCACCGCTGCGTGGGCCTGCGTGCGCTCCAGGTCCACTGCTTTCTGAAAAATCTCAGAAGTTAGCAGGCAGAACATCTTGTTTTTCCATTTCTTAGGGAGTACACATTGTTTATTATCTATTCATTTGTACTGACTCAATCCTTTCCTTTTCTGATCTTCTGAACCAGTTGAAACGACTCCAGGATGCCATGACAGAAGGCGGCGTGGTGCTGAAGGAGCCCCGGAGGGTCTATGAGTGAAACCTCACGTCCGTAGCACACAGCTGTGGCACCCCTCAGGCGAACATCTGTAACGCTAACCAGAGTCTAATTGTGGAATGTTATTTGTAATTAAGATCATTTTAATATCTGTGTGAGTGTGTGTGTGTGTGTGTTTTAATGATTTCAGTTCTTCCCTCTTGCACATGGTAAAATTATCCAAGGAAAAACTGTTGCAGTTTTAACTTCTGAAGGACAAATGGAATGTTCAAAATAAGAATAAAGGCTTATTATGAACTCTATTTTGGTTTCATGTGAGATTTTTCTCTGCCTTTAGGTTTATGTGAAAGCATGCTTGCTGTGACAAGGGCCATGCGGAACTGGGTTATTGAAAGTGTTGCTTTTCTAAGGCACAGGGTTGAGGGCCCGCTGGCAAGCATTGATCTACAATGTTACGGAAAGATGGAAGTCTTTGACTTGACTTACATTCTGCTGGCTGGCAGTTTTCCGCTTAACACTTTGCTTGTGGAAAGGCAATTTCCAGCCAAAGCAGTTTTTCCTACTTACCCTTCTTCAATATCTAGCTCAGCATTGGTTTCAACAAAAGGTAGCTCTGTTCTGGGTGTTTTAAATAGGAAATGTCACTCTATAAATTCTAACCATCCTAGTAATGTGGAGCCTGTAGGCAAAATCTGATTTGGTTCCTGAACCCCCCAAGCAGAATCAAATTGGAAGAGAGATCACTGGGAACAGGTGGGAACACACGGGCTGGGTGGGGGCACATCTGTGAGAGGGGATCAGGAAGGAGGTAAAGCCTCAAGTGCCCTCCCCTTCACCTTCAGCTAAAGCCTGGCAGTTGGAAGCATCATGGTTTGCTCACAGGAGTTGATTCCAGCAGCTTGGTGGGAATTTGTGGCTGTTCTAAGACAAACGTGAATCATTAAAACCTTAAGCAGTTAGGGTGTCTTCAAGGACGTCTCCCCTCGATCCTAGAGTAGCTCCCAATAATGAACACAATTGTATATGTAGAAGTGACGTGGCACTATAGACTTGAGTACTGAGGACACTGTACCGTTTGGTTTGGAGCCATGCCGCACTACTCAGGGTTCACTCGTGGCAGTGTTCAGGGGGCCATATGAGATGTTGGGATTGAACTGGGGTCAGGTGCGTACAAGGTAAGAGCCTTACCTGCCATGCAATCTGTGGTCCCAGAATGCTATTTTTCAAAGAAATGTGTAAGCACCAACATTTAAAACTATGATTAAAAACTTTCAGAATGCTATGGCTTAAATGTTCTCTTTTTTTTTTTTTTTTTTTGCTTTGCTTTTTGGGTCACACCTGGCGTTGCACAGGGGTTACTCCTGGCTCTGCACTCAGGAATTACTCGGACCATATGGGATGCTGGGAATCGAACCCGGGTTGGCCGCGTGCAAGGGAAACGCCCTACCCACTGTGCTATGGCTCCAGCCCCTTAAATGTTATCTTGATCAATGAGGACCTCAGTGAAAACATTTAAGAATGTGCATTATAGTTCTAAATTTTCATCCCTTATCTTAAAGATTATTTTAAAGATTAGGGGCTGGATCGATAGCACAGCGGTAGGGCGTTTGCCTTACAAGTGGCCAACATGGCTGACCCGAGTTCGATTCCTCCGCCCCTCTCGGAGAGCCCGGCAAGCTACCGAGAGTATCTCGCCCGCACGGCGGAGTCTGGCAAGCTCCCCGTGACGTATTCGATATGCCAGACACAGTAACAACAAAGTCTCCAATGGAGACGTTACTGGGCCCGCTCGAGCAAATCGACGATCAACGGGAGGGCCTTTACCTTACCTTTACCTATCTTAAAGATTGTTTGGAATATCTCACTTTGTTTTTGTTTTGGGACCACACCCGGAGGGGTCACTCCTACTGGGCTCACTGACCATGGGCACTGTTTTCCTGAAAGGCCCTGCTCCCCACCTCACCCCAACACTGGATTCTTGGGACTGAACCTGGGTCGGCCGTGTGCAAGGCAGCACCTTGCCTGCTGTGCTATCCCTCTGGCCCCTGTAATATGTCAATTTGTGGCCGGTTCCAGAGGGTGGCTCAAACCAGTGTGGAATTGAAGGGAGGATATAGGAAGCCCAGGGCTTGAATTGGTGGTTTCGTAACAACTGACAAAAATAGGATTCACCTGTCAGTGTTTGCGTCAGTGACAGAAAATGATGGTCCCGGAGCAGAGTTTTTCAAACCTTTCTTGAAATCACCTGATAGCTTTTCATGTTCTTTCTAAAATTCCTAATAACACAGTTGGTTGAAGACCAGCAGACCAAAGCCACGACAATTACATCAAAATACTTTCGAGTGGGGACCCAGACTTCAGTATCTTTAAACTGAGGTGAATCAGTGTCTTTTCTCTTTTTTTTTTGTTTAGGATTTTGGGGTGAGGTGGAGAGCCGGGCCTTTCAAGAATACAGCGCCCCTGGTCAGGGGCATGTTGACCTCACAGTCACCTGGGCTGCTTTTTAGCCTCTGTGGCTTCTAGCTCATTTCATTAGCCCTCAAAGCCTCACTTGCCGGAGATGCGCATTTTCTCATGGCCTGGGAACGTGAACGGGCTCCTTGTTCCGCCGCTCAGTGCAGATGGACATGAGGACTTGGTCAGTATGGACACTGGCCAGTGAGCCCTGGGATTTCCCAAAAGGCACCCACATACCTGTTCGGAGCCTAAGACTGGGAACAGCTTGAGGATTGTCCAAAATCCCTTGGCCTTTAGGGTCACCTCCAACAGCTAGCACAGTGGACCCCTGGGGGTGGGGCGGGAACATTTTTGCCTTAGGGTTGTAGATACCTTGCTGGTTTTTGTTTTGCCTCCTGGTTTGTTTTTTCCTGCCACACCCAGCAGCGCTCTGCTACTCCTGAGGTGCCAGCGATCCTACCTGGGCCTTCCTCTGCACACCAAGCACCCGGAGCCACTACCATTAGCTCCTCCCCGCTGAAAAGTGCAGTGGCCTTGTTTAGCCTTATTTATTTATTTTTGGGGTCACAACGGGCTATGCACAGGGGTTTCTCCTGGCTCTGCACTCAGGAATTACTCTTGGCGGTGCTCAGGGGACCATATGGGATGCTGGGAATGGAACCCAGGTGGGCCGCGTGCAAGGCAAACACGCTACCGCTGTGCGTGGCTCCAGCCCCACGACGCCTTCCTTTTAATGAGCCACGCCAGCACCGGGGGGTGATCCAGCTGGCGAATGGTCTCATGAATGCCCAGAGGATGGTGACATAGAACTGGTCGTTAGGGCAGGGCAAGACGTGGGCCCTGTGCCGGCAGTTCCATCGCGGGGGACTCTGCCCTGCGCCCGGCAGGCTGGCCCCTTCTCCCCGCAAGCACCCCACGTCCACGCTAGTCTCGAGCGCCAGGAGCTGAAGGTCACGGCGTGGGTGTGCAAAGGCCCACACCTGGGCCGGCCCCATGGGGCGCGGCGGGCACGTGCCCGCGCCGAGCGCTTTAAGGGGGCGGCGCCGGCGGAAGTGCGTGGGCGCGTGGCTGCACGTGGCCGCTCGGGGCACCTCGGGGCACCTCGGGGCACCGTGCCGGAGCCGTGGCCATGGACGTGGGCGCCGACGAGTTCGAGCAGAGCCTCCCGCTGCTGCAGGAGCTCGTGCTGGGCGCGGACTTCGTGGGTACGGGGGAGCTGCCCCGGGAGCCTGCGGGTGGGCGGACCCGGGCGGGGGCGCCCACGGCGGGACCCCCGGGAGAGCGAGACGCTGCGTGGGCCTGGGCCAGCGCCAGCTGGGGGTTGGGGGGGCCGGCGCGTCCCTGCCCTCGCTGCCCACGCTGCCCCTCTCGCCGCGCCGCTGCGTGCGCGTCACCGGGTGGGCCCGGCCCGGCCCGGATGGGGGTCTCTTTTGCCTCCCCCGCAGGTCTGGACATAGAGTTCACCGGCCTGCGCTCCAACCTGTCCGGACCCCAGCAGATCAGGTAAAGGGGGCGCCGCCGCCGGGGCCTGGGGACCCGCCGCCTCCGGGTGGGCTTGCAGGGGGCAGCGGGCAGCGCGCTCCCTCATTGCCGCGGGGGGACTCGGGGGGCGCCCCGCGGGGCCTCCCCGTGGCTGAGGAAGGGGCCCCTGGCTTGCAGTCTCTTCGACCTGCCTTCCGAGTGGTACCTGAAGACCCGCCAAAGCATCCAGCAGTTCACCATCTGCCAGATCGGTGAGTGCGGCAGCTGCTGCCGATGACCTCGGATCCTTTTGCTTCTCTTTGGGGGTCTCCCCTGTCGGGATCGCTCCTGGCCCGCCTTGGGGGGGGGGGCATAAGGGGAAAGATCGAGCCTCCCTCCTTGGCCCCATGCCAGGCAGGTTAGCATGGGAGGTTTTCATTGTTTCCTCTCTGCCAAACAGTTTCACGTTCTTGAATGCTTGAATGATGACTAGACTTTTTCTTTTTCTTTTTTTTTTTTCTTTTTGGGTCACACCCAGCGATGCACAGGGGTTACTCCTGGCTCTGCACTCAGGACTCACTCCTGGCGGTGCCCAGGGGACCATATGGGATGTTGGGAATCAAACCTGGGTCGTCCGCATGCAAGGCAAATGCCCTACCCGCTGTGCTTATCACTTCAGCCCCGATGACTAGACTTTTGCCTGTTTGAATCTTGACCCGCTCAGGTCTGTGAGATCTCATGCTTTCAGGGTTGACTATGAAGGCAGCCACACCATATTTTTTTTTTTAAGAAAAATTGCATGACTTTTTTTTTTTCCTTGAAGAATGTGTATGGACAAGATCATGCTAGGCCGCTTTCTGCTCCAGCTGTTTCCCTTCTACTAATGTAGGTTTTCGGACATAATCTGTTAGTGCGTAGATACTGATTTGGGCTTTTTATTGCTTGGGCCCATACCAGGCTGTGCTTACTACTTACTCCTGGCTTTGTGCTCAGGGTTTACTCCTGGTGGGGTTAGGGGACCATATGGGGAGCCAGGGATTCAACTGTGTCATCTGTACTCAAGGCAACCCCCTTAACTCGCGTACTGTCTCTTTGTAATGATGGCATAGTTTTTAGGAAGCTGTAGGGTTGATGGGTGTTGACTCAGGTCCCTATTGGACGTGCCCTTTGATTATCACTTGTGTGTAATGAACAAGCTTGTACTGACAAACATGTATTGGCATATTGCTGTGGTCTCGTGAGTATGTCTCTGGTGTGCTTCTGACTCGCAGAGTAAGGAACCTGTGTACTGGTTTGTGTTGACCAACTCTTCCTCATTGGTGAGCACGCTCTCTTCACTGGGAGATGCCCTGTGCAGCCCGACGTAGTCAGCCTAAGTTGCTGGAGGGAGCGACACAAGTACTTTTCTCAACAGGAGAGGTTCCCAAACTTAATTTGGCCTGCCAACCCCTCACCCTTTTCGGGGGGGAAAAATACACATCTCCTTGCCCTAGCTACCTTCCTTCAAGCCAATACACAGAAGCACCTCCCTGAGTCCCTGAAGATACTGCACCCCCTTTATTTAATTTATTTTTTAAAGTTAATTTATTTTTTCTTGTTGGATCACACCTGGCGATGATGCACAGGGGTCACTCCTGGCTCATGCACTCAGGAATTATTCCTGGCGGTGCTCAGGGGACCATATGGGATGCTGGGAATCAAACCTGGGTCAGCCTCGTGCAAAGCAAACGCCCTGCCCGTTCTGCTATCGCTCCAGCCCCACTGCGCCCCCTTCAGAAAAGATAACGAGATGCTATTGATTCCCACTTTTAGTAAACAGTTTGTTTTCTGTCGAGAGTTTGGTAGTAAAGAAAACATTTCAAGTTCCGTATGTCACAGCTACCTAGTTCTGGCTAGTCATTTTTTTGTTTGTTTTTAAGATTTTGGGTCACACCTGGAGGTGCTCAGGTGTTACCCCCGGCTCTGCACTCTGGAATTACTTCTTGCGGGGCTCGGGGGACCATATGGGGTGCTGGAGATTGTACCCCGGTTCACCGTATGCACAGTAGGTGCCTGAGGAATGGGCTGGCTTTGACCCTGGCTTGGCGAGGAGCCATCTGTGTTTCCTGGCTGTCCTGCCTTTGGATTTTCTCTTGCGAGACTCTGAAAGTCGCAGCAGAGAGCACGCAGAGACCTTCTGTCCTCACTTGGCGGCGCTCAGGGCTGACTCCCAGCTCTGCGTTCAGGAATTACTCCTGGCAGTGCTCGGGAGACCAGATGCAGTGCCAGGGATTGAACCTGGGTTGGCCACGTGCGAGGCAAACACCCTCCTTAAAGCAGGATGCACATCTAAAAGGTTGTGTATGTTTTATGTTATGCCCCATTTTTTCCCTTCTTTTCCCCTCCTTGCTTGGGGTCTCCCACACGTGCGGCTGGAAGGGAAGTGCTCTACACCTCCCTGGCCCTGCCTTTATGATTTTTTTTTTTTGGCTTTAGGGCCGTAAAACATCAATTTAATACTTCTGTGTTTAAAGAATCAGCCCCACAGTTATTTTAATTTCAGTGTGAATTGTAACAATATACCTGTGTTTTAAATCAATCTTACCTTTTTTTGTTTGTTTGTGGGTCACATCTGGTGCTGTTGGGGGACCCATACCGGATGCGAGGAATTGCTCCTGGGTCAGCTGTGCGCAGAGCAAGCATCCTGCTTCACTATCGCTCCAGCCCTGTTTCTTTTCTTTATAACAAATTTTTCGGGCCACACCCCTTGCTCAGGGGTTACTCCCGGCTCTGCACTCAGGGATCATTCCTGACAATGTTCAGGGGACCATATGGGGTGCTGGGATTGAACCCAGTTTGGCTGCATGCAAGGCAAGCATCTTACCTACCATACTATCACTCCTGCTCCACTTTCCATTAAAAAAAAAAAACAAATATATACATATATCGATGAACAGCGGGAAGACAGTGACAGTGACTGTCCTTTCGTTGTTCATCGATTTGCTCGAGCGGGCACCAGTAACATCTCACAACAAATTATGAGACTTGTTACTGTTTTTGGTATACCGAATATGTCACAGGGAGCTTGCCAGGCTTTGCCGTGTGGGCGAGAGATACTCTTGGTAGCTTGCTGGGCTCTTCGAGAGGGGCGGAGGAATCAAACCCGGGTCGGCTGTGTGCAAGGCAAATACCCTACCCACTGTGTTATCGCTCCAGCCCATATATATATATCATATATATATATATTATGCACATATAATGTTGGGCTGCACCTGGAGGTGCCCAGACTCCAGCCTCCCACCTGCCGTCCCTGTGCCCAGCCTGTCTTTCTGGGGCTCTCCTAGGCCTCCCACCATCTCTGGGGGTTAGCATTCTGTTGGAAGGGGCTCAGCGGGGCAGTTGGCTTGGGTGGTTGACTGCCCGCGCCCCCGGGACCCATGCCCTCTGCTCTTGTCCCCCTAGGGTTGTCCGTGTTCTCCAGCATCGAAGGGGAGGCCGACAAGTACGCATGGAGACCCTTCGCAGAGCCCGTGAATCGCACCCAGCCCTCTCCTCCACCTGCACCCCACATTCCTGCCTTCTGCTGGGTCCCAACCCCCTCCCCCCACCGGCAGCTCCTTTGCAGAGGACTTTGCCCAGCTTTCTTAGCTAGGGACTCCCCCTCCTGTCCGTTGTCCACAGACCCCAAGCAGTGCTCGGGACTTACCCCCGACTCTGCGCTCAGGAATTCCTCCAGGTGGTGCTCGAGGAGCCTCTGGGATGCCGGGCATTGAAGCTGGGTCGGCCTCATGCAAGGCCACGTCACCTGCCGGAGTATCGCTCTGGCCCTGGACGGCAGTTTTTAGGGGATGGGGAGAGCACAGGCAGTGGGCCCCCAGACCCCCTTAGCTCGCGTGGAGCAGGGGCTCTGCCTTCCCAGCCGCCCGTCAGCCTTTGTTCATCGTCTCCTTGTGTGACTTTCCGCTGTGTTCCTCAGGAGCCAGCCGCCCAGATAAGGAGAGAGGGCAGGGTCGGGCTGGGTGTTTGCTGCTGGGGGACATGCGTCCAGTGGTGTGGGGGCCCGGCCCTGGGCTGCAGGCATGAGAGCAAACAGCCCACCCTGTGTCTCCCCGGCCCCATGGACCAGTGCTAAAACTGGACTCAGCTTTTTCTTCCCTCTGTGCCCCTTTCTTAAACGCAGGGACTGGCCTCAGCTATTGATCCCCCGTGCCTCCCTTTCTTACTTCCTGTGCTCCCCATTTTTAATCCTGTGCTCCCCTTTTATTTTTGCTTTTTTTGGGGGGGGTCACCCCCTGCGATGCACAGGGTTTATTTCTGGCTCTGCACTCAGGAGTTACTCCTGGCGGTGCTCAGGGGACCCTATGGGATGCTGGGAATCGAACCCGGGCCAGCTGCGTGCAAGGCAAACGCCCTCCCCGCTGTGCTGTCTCTCCAGCCCCTGTTCCCCTTTTCACGTCCCCGTGCTCCCCTTTCTCGAACAGGTACGTCGCCCACTCTTGCAACTTTTTTCTCTTCCCCACGACATTCGGGATTTTGGATTCGGAGTTCTCCTTCCAGGCCTCGAGCGTCCAGTTTCTGAACCAGTATGGCTTTGACTACAACAAGGTACGGGCACGGGCCTGCCTTCTCCCGGGGCGACTGGCAGGTCACCTCGCTCCTCGCCCCGCAGCCCGGCCCGGCTCCCACCTGCCCCCCGCCCCCCGCAGTTTCTCAAAAAGGGGATCCCGTACATGAATGAGGAGCAGGAGAGGAAAGTCAAGCACAGCATCCTCACCGGGAACTGGACAGTGCGCAGGTAGGGCCTGGCCTGTGGCTGTCGGGGTGTCCTCATGTGGCCAGGGGTTTGGGGGGGGTGTCAAGGCTGACCACCGCCAGGAGCAGTGCCCTCGGGGGCAGGATCTCCTCCCCGGTCCTGGGTAGCGGTGTTCTCAGAATTGCCTGAGGGGTGAGTGAGACTTCCGGGATGTCCCGGGGAGGTTCAGGAGTGACTGTCAGGGAATCCTGACTGCAGCGTGTCCTGCTGTGCCCCTCGGACCCGGGCGCGGCTGTGTGCATGGTGACAGGCGCTGACTGTGCGCCTCTGAGCTGGCGCCTGGCTCTTTGGGCTGTAGCGGTAAGTGGAACCAGCAGAAGCTTCCTCTCGGCCCGTGAACAGAGTCCTGTATCTGCTCCGGATACGCACAGTGGGGACGACTGCAGGACGCCTACGGCCACCCGACGGCGAGCACGGGCCGGGGCTCCTTGCTGCACCCCCTGTGTCAGAACCTGTGGCAGGGGCACGGTGGCTAGGAGGGGCTGGAAGGCTTGGAGTGTGCTTGGTACTCAGGGCCCAGGTTTGGCCTGGGCCTCAGCATCTCTGGGTCGGTTCTGCCACGCATTGCCGGGTCAGCTGCTGCAGGGAGCGGAGCCCCCAGGGCCTCAGAAACCCCCTCGGGCCTCAGAACACCCTCCCACTTGGCCTCAAAACCCTCTCCTGCCTCGGGCCCCCCACCCCCACTTCAGAGCCCCCTTTCAGCCCTCTGGATCCCATCCCTCAGGTCTCAGAACTCCTACCCCCCTCGGTCCTCCGTAACTCTTCCCCTCAGGCCTCTAGAGACCCCCCCCCATTGCTCAGAACCCCTCCCCCAGGTCTCAGAGCCCCTCTCAGGCCCTAGAGCCCTCAGAACCACCCCCAGGCCTCAGAGACCCCCAGACCTCAGAGCCCTCCCCCTAGGCCTGAGAGCCCTCCCCCTAGGCCTGAGAGCCCTCCCCCCAGGCCTGAGAGCCCTCCCACCAGATCTCAGAGCTTTCCTCCTCTCAGGCCTCAGAATCCCTCTCCTTGTCTCCTGCTGACGCAGCCTGCCAACTTGACCTTGGTGATTCCGCCCCTTTCCAGTTCCCTGGATAAAGACCAAATCAAGGTGGTGATCGACGAAGTGACACGGTGGCTGGACCTGGCCGAGGAAGGCGACTGGATGACCCTCCCTGGGATCGCAGGTTGGCGGGGGCAGTGGTTGGGACTCAGTCTGTCCCCCTAACCGGACACGCTCTTGCGTCCTGGGTGTCACACTGGGCGGGCCATCCCCCAGCTGTGGATGCTCGCTTGGTCCCAACCTGGACTGGGGTCTCAGGATAACAGCCCTGCTGTGGAAAGGAATCCAGTTCGTCAAGGATCAGGTTTTGAGTTTGCCTTTCTTGAGAGGAGGTGGGGTTTTTCTCGTGCAGCCGCTGACCTGCTGACTGCCTCTGCTGTAGCGTTCCGGGGGAGGGGGCAGACAGTGGGGGGCTCGGAGCGTGGCTTCCAGCCCAGCACTGCCCACGTCACCCCCAAAGAAGTTTCAGGGCCAGGGCTGGAGCGATAGCACAGTAGGTAGGGTGTTTGCCTTGCACGCAGCCAACCCGGGTTCGATTCCCAGCATCCCATATGGTCCCCCGAGCACTGCCAGGAGTGATTCCTGAGTGCAGAGCCAGGAGTAACCCCAGTGCATCGCCGGGTGTGACCCAAAAAGCAAAAAGAAAAAAAAAAGTTTTAGGGCTGGGGACCCAAAGCACTGGGTTAGTTGCTCAACCTGCATCTGCTCAACCAGATTCCGTTTCCCTGAGCTCCCTGAGCCCCCCTGAGAGTCATCCCCAAGCACAGAGCCAGGAGTCAGCCCTGAGCACCGCCGGGTCTGATTTTCGGGCCACCCTCAGGGCCCTGCGTTAGCTGGAGTTTAGACCTTTGCTTCTTGCTCTTGTGTCACGTGCTGCAGCCCGTTCGACCCCCAGCGCCCTTTCACTCCCGCCCTGCTAGTCGGGCCCGTATCCAAATCCACAGGGGCTGGCTGGTACAAGCATACAGCGTGTCTTTGTGTCTTTGTGCGGGTTACCGGGGACCACGGGTTACTGGAGACTTCACCTCTGAGAACATCCCTCTTAGACCTACTGGGCGTTCCCACCCGTTTTCTTAAGGAGAAAGCGCGAGCTGTCTCAACATGAAGTCAGAGAACTGCAGTGATGAGACTCAGACTCTGAATGCTCCAGCTGACTGTGCCTCTGGGCTCCGAGCCTCACCTGGGTCCGCTGGCAGGGTGCCAAGGCCCCTGGGGACCGTGGGGCCGTGAGGCATGTTCCCGTCCAGCCCGGGCTCCTGAGTCAGCAGTGTGGCTCTCGAGGGGGCTCCCCGTACAGCGGACTTTCGAAACACCCTCTAAGCCCCCTGCATTCCTGGGAAGCGGCGGTCTCCGTGCACTTGAGCCCCTCTTCCTGCACTGGCCACTCAGGACCTTCCGAGGCTGGACACGTGGAGTCCCGCCCCAGGATGTGAAACACTCACTCATGACGTGGATCGTCATTTTTTGTTTAGGAATGTAGTTTCCGTTTTTCATACAGAACAGGTCATTTTTTGTTAAGCATAGAATGAGTTCATTTTTCTGTTTTTGTTTTTGGGGTACCCACATAGTGATGCGCGGGCCGGCTCCTGGCTCTGCACTCAGGAATTACTCCTGGTGGTGCTCAGCGGACCATGTGGCGTGTTGGGGATTGAACCCGGGTCGGCTGCGTGCAAGGCAAGTGCTCTCCGCACTGCACTATGGCTCCAGCCCTATTTGTTTTTGGAATGCCCAGGATTGAGCCCAGTGATGCTTGGGGAGGCTTACACTGTATCGCTTCATGTTCTTTACTTGGAAGAGCTTTAGTATCTGAGGGATAGTTTTTATTTCTAATCTGGTGCGTGGCAACAACCGTGACCCACATAAAGGCATTTGGGGTCCTCCCTTGAAGAGTGGCCCCGAGATCAGGCCCTGAGAAACCTCGGGTCCCAGCTACTGTTTGTTTTTTTCTTCTCTCTCCTAGTACCACCCAAACTGGGTCCTTTTCCTCTTTTTTTTTTTTTTTTTTGATTATTTTTGGGCCACACTCGGCAATGCTCAGGGGTTGCTCCTGGCCCCGTGCTCAGGGGGCTATATGGGATGCCGGGCATCAGACCTGGCTGGCCCCGTGGAGGAGAACCCCTCCTGCTGCCTTCTCTCCCCGGCCCCATGGGGGCTTGCTGTGTGGATTCTGCAGAGAGAACTGTCATGGCAGGAATCTTTTCATCTCTTCCTTGATTTCCTCTCTAACCCACTGGTTGTTCAGCATTGAGCTGTTTAATTCCCAGGTATTTGATTCGATTCTTCATTTCTTTGTGTGATTAACTTCTATCTTCAGTGCATCATGGTCTGATGGCACTGTAGCACCATCCTCCCGCTGTTCATCGATTTACTTGAGCAGGCCCAGTAACGTCTCCATTGTGAGACTTGTTACTGTGTCTGGCATATTGAATATGTCACAGGTAACTTGCCAGGCTTTTGCCGTGCGGGTGAGATACTCTTGGTAGCTTGCCGGGCTCTTTGAGAGGGGCAGAAGAATTGAACTCGGGTCGACCGGGTTGGCCGCATGCAAGGCAAATGCCCTATGCACTGTGCTGTCGTTCCAGCCTGTGGTCTGAAAAGGTAGTTGATACAGTTTCTTTCTTCTTGATTTTATTGAGGTATATTTTGTGGCCCAGCATCTGTCTTGGAACATGTTTCATGTGCATTGGAAAAGTGTGTATTTGGCTTTTTGGAGTTGAAAAGCCCTGAATATATCTACTAGCTCACTCTCTCCCATTTCTTCCTTCAGAGCCAGTACTTCCTAAGTTTCAGCCTCGTTGATTTATCAAGAGGTGACAAGGCGGTGTTGAAGTCTCCGGCTACTATTGTGTTGCTACCAGTGTCGTCCTTGAAGTCTGTTAGCAGTTGTTTTAAGTGTTTTGCTGGCCCCTCATTGGGTGCATATATGTTTAGAGTGTAATTTCTTCCTAATGTATATTCCCTTGATTATTAAAAAATGGCCTTAATGTCCCTTCTCATCTTTTTTTTAATGTCGGAGTACTGCCGTTTATTTAGCCACTGATTAAACTGATTGAAGCAGGCATGAACTCCTCATTACGTTTTAAAATTTTTAAATTATATTTTCATAAAGTTGTTCACAGTAATTTTCATTGATTATTTCAATACCCATCCCACCATCATTGCATCTTCTCACCACCACTACTTTGAATCTTCCCACCACCACCCCAGTCTGCCCCTTTGGTAGATGCTAAGTAATTTATTTTGTATTGTTTGCCATGAATAGTATGATGTGTCAAGCGGCTGCAGAAGTAGCCGCATGCTCCTGGAACTCTAAAATCTTAAAATATTTGGGTCCGGAGGCATCTCTGCAGTGTGCTGCTCTCTTCTGAGATTCACTTGTGAGTCTCTGGATCATGGCTGTTGATGCAATTAAGTGGCGCCCAGAGGCAGTTTCGGGCATGACTGCCAGGAAACAGGGATGGCAGGGAGATGGGGTGTGGTCGCCCATCCCCGACTCGGTGAAGCCTGGGTAAAGCCTGGACTTTTCAGTCACTGGTCCCACGTACCTGGGTTTTTTAGCGATTCATTCTCATGTGTGGGAGGCTCCGAGCGAGCTGTGAAGATTGGCTGTGAGCATGGTGGTGATTGGGTTCTGGAGGTTTGCAGCTGTCAGGGTTCATCTGGGGCAGGCAGAGGGCCACACCTGCCCCCCTCTGAGATGCTCTGGTGCAATCAGGCTGGCATTGGAGTGGGGCGACATCTCTGGCGTGCTGCTCTCCTCCAAGATTCATTTGTAAGTGTCTGAATCATGGCCATTAATGTGCTTAAAAGGCCTGCTTTTGACCGCTTGAGATTTATTTATGGGTCTCTGAAGCAAGGCCGATAAATGAACTTGTATAACTGAGCCGGAGGTGGTTTGTGGGCGTGACTCCCCCATAACTTTTGGCCGTTTACTTTCTCAGGAAACTTGGTCCAAAGTTGTTGGGGGTCCGGCCAGAGGCACAGTGGCAATTCTGGGGTATCAGGAAGCCTAAAGGCATCATCAGGCTGCTGATGCACTCACCCCACAGGTACAGGTTGACCTGCTGGGCGACATTGTACCCCCTGTCCCTTCTAATCTTTTTTCAGCCTGAAATCCATGTTGTCAGATACTAGTATGGCCACCCTGGCTCTTTTGAGTTGTTTGCTTGAAGGATTGTTTTCTATCCTTAGACTTTGAGTCTATCTACTTTGACTGTTCAGATGTGTTTCTTGTAGGCAGCAGAATGTTGAATTCAGTTTTTAAATCCATTTTGCCACTCTATCTCTTTTTTTTTTTTTTTTTTTTTTTTTTGCTTTTTGGGTCACACCTGGCGATGCACAGGGGTTACTCCTGGCTCTGCACTCAGGAGTTACTCCTGGAGGTGCTCAGGGGACCATATGGGATGCTGGGAATCGAACCCGGGTCGGCTGCGTGCAAGGCAAACGCCCTACCCGCTGTGCTATTTCTCCAGTCCCCAGCCACTCTATCTCTTAACTGGTGCACTTAGACCATTGACATTAAGGGAGATCATTGTTGTGGGGTTTCATGCCATCTTTATGTAGAATTTTGTTGTGTCTTTGAGGTTTATCTTGTCTTTTTTTTTTTTTTTCTGTTGAATCACCATGAGAACAGTTGCAAAGTTTTTGGGTTTAAGTCTCGGTCATACAATGATCAAATACCCGTCCCTTCACCAGTGCACATTTTCCACCACCAAGAACCCCAGTATACCCCCCATCCCACCCCTTCCCCTGCCTGTGTGGCAGATGATTTCCACTTTACTCTCTCTACTTTGAGTACATTCAATATTTTGACAAAAGACCTTGCTCAAGCGGGCCCAGTAACGTCTCCATTGGAGACTTTGTTGTCACTGTGTTTGGCATATCGAATACGTCACGAGCAGCTTGCCAGGCTCTGCCGTGCGGGCGAGATACTCTCGGTAGCTTGCCGGGCTCTCCGAGAGGGGCGGAGGAATCGAACTCGGGTCGGCCATGTTGGCTGCGTGCAAGGCAAACGCCATACCGCTGTGCTATCGCTCAAGACCTACCGTTATTATTTGGAATTTATAGCACAGCGGGTAGGGCGTTCGCCTTACAAGCGGCCAACATGGCCGACCCGAGTTCGATTCCTCCGCCCCTCTCGGAGAGCCCGGCAAGCTACCGAGAGTATTCGATATGCCAGACACAGTAACAACAAAGTCTCCAATGGAGACGTTACTGGGCCCGCTCGAGCAAATCGACGATCAACGGGAGGGCCTTTACCCCCAACAATCAGACCTGCCGAAAAGGCATCATTAGATAATTTGTTTTCTATTGCTGATTATGAAGAGCATATGATGTCACACGGCCACAATAGGGACCGCACAATTTTGGAATTCTGATATTTTAGTAATTAAGCGTGGCGGGATTTCTGCCAAAAGCCACTGGGTTCCAAGATAAGTTTGTGTGCCTCTGGGATCATTTTTCTTCTTTTTGGGTCACACCTGGAGATGCTCAGGGCTTACTCCTGGCTTTTGTACTCAGGAATCACTCCTGGCAGTGCTTGGGGGACCATATGGGATGCTGGGAATCGAACCCGGGTCGGCCGCATGCAAGGCAAACGTCCTACCCGCTGTGCTATTGCTCCAGCCCCGGCCTCTGGGATCATGGCTATTAAGGGGCTCTGTAAGTAGCAGAGGAGCCATTCATGGGTGGCAACTCCAGGTCTTGTCGGGGCGGGGGAGAAGGGCTGTTTCCATCCCCCATCCTATGAGGCCCTGCGTGTCTCGTCACTGCTGGCTCGTACCTGACTGCCCAATAGGCTCTGAAAGATGGCGGCCACGATGCCGCAGGGGGAATAGGTGTAAGGGACAACACCTTTTCCCACCCGGGGTGGCCTGGTGCCATAGCTCACTGCAGAGTCCGGACGCATTCTGCCAAAAGCCACTGAGTTCCGAGATTGGTTTGTGTGCCTCTGGGATCATCGCCGTTAGGGAACTTGATAAGTAGCTGGAGGAGCCGTTTGTGGGCGGCAGCGTGGGGTCTCGTTGGGGTGGGGGACAAGGGGGTTTGTCTTGTCTTAAGGAGCTCCTTCAGTCCTTCTTTTAAGGTTGGTTTTGAACCTTAAGGAAGTTCCTGAGCTGTGGTTTATCCATGAAGTAGTGTAGAGTTTGAGTCTGAGTGGGAGTCTGGCTGGGTAAAGTACGCCTCTTGGTGAGGCGTTCATTTCACTGAGTTTTCTCACTATACCCCACCACTGTCTTTGGGCCCAGATGGTTTCATCTGATTTAAGTCTGCTATAAATCTAAGGGATGCTCCTTGTTATGTGATTTCTTCCTTTAACCTTCCTGCTTGCAGTATTGTGTCTCTGTGGTATTTGTTGTTCTGATTATGATATGCCTTGGAGTCTTTTTGTTAGTTTTATACAGTGCCCATTGGCCCCTGTTTTCTCTAGCTCTGGGAACTTCTCAGCAATGATGTCTTTCACTGTTACCACCTCATTGGAGTTGCCTTCCTGTCCCTCTGATACTCCGATGATTCTTCTATTGTTCCTCTTGAATTCATCCCATATGTCTCTTACCTACGCTTGAGCTATTTTGAGGTCTTTTTCTATCTTTTGTTGTTTCCTGGTTGCTTTCTGTAACTCATCTTCAAAATCAATGATTCTGTCTTTGGCTGTTGTCATTCTACTGTTGAGGACACCCACTGAGTTTTTATTTCATCTACTGAATTCTTAATTAGTGACACTTCTGTTTGTAGCTTTATTTCTGCTCTCATTTCTTCCCTTATTTTATTGGCTGTCTGTTCGACTGTTTCTTTCATATTCTCCTGTATTTTTATTGGATGTCCCTTGTACTGGGATGGAGCGATAGCACAGTGGGTAGGGCGTTTGCCTTGCATGCGACCGACTCTGCTGACCCAGTTTGATTCCTTCACCCCTTTCGGAGAGCCAGGCAAGCTACCAAGAGTATCTCACCCACATGGCAAAGCCTGGCAAGCAACCCGTGATGTATTCAGTATGCCAAACATAGTAAAATAAGTCTCACAATGGAGATGTTACTGGGCCCGCTCGAACAAATCGATGAACAACGGGAGGACAGTGCGACAGTGCAGTCCCTTGCATTGCTTCTTTGCACTTATTAAACACCCTCATCGTTGCATCTCTGAATTCTTGTCAGAGAGATTGTGTACGTGGCTCTCCCCTGCCGAGGCCTCTGGGCTCTTTCTTCATCCTCTCCCCGTGGTGGGGATCTGTGCTGCTCCCTACATTGCTGTAGGAGGATGGAGGTGGGTCCCTCCCGTTCACTCTGTGTTCCCCCTTCACTGCCAGGAGGACTCTGGGTGAGCTCGGTTACTGTGGTCTCCTCTCTCCCTTGCTAGGATACTACCCTCCTCTTTGGTGCTCCCGAGTGACTTATGTGGGGTCTCTAGTGCTGAGTCAGCGTGTTCTTTTAGATTGGGTTTGTAAAGGTTCTTGTGTTCACCGTTATTTTGGTGAGTTTGGGGGAGTATTTTGATTGGAATAGGCTAGTGGGCTATTGGCCTAATGTGGTTGGCATAGCCAGGCTGCTCTCATAAGAGTTTGGTATAAGAGGCTGAGGTATGTGACAATGCACTGTGAAAGAGGAAATTAATTGGCGGCCGCGGGTGTACCTGTGGGGAGGGGGGACCCGCATTTTGGGCAGATCCTGGGTCACATATATATATATATATTATGTAAATTTATTTATTTTTGCTTTTTGGGTCACACCCAGCGATGCTCAGGGGTCACTCCTGGCTCTGCACTCAGGAATTACCCCTGGCGGTGCTTGGGGGACCATACGGGACGCCGAGGATCGGACCTGGGTCGGCTGTGTGTCGTGCTGTTGCTCTGGCCCCCTGGTGCGCTCCTAACCCACAGCCGTCCCCTCTCGCTGAGCCTCTCGCTTCAGTGGTCAGCGGCAGGAGCCACAGCACCCAGGCCTGCGCTCCCTGTGCTTCCGGGGACCCGCATGCCACAGCGACTTCTCCAGGAACAGTGCGGAGTTGGGAGTTGGTCGCTGCATGCCTGTCCTTGGAGCCCCTCGCTGCCCGAGCAGAGAGATGGGGGCAGGAGTTGGTTTCCGAGTGCAGTGGCCGGAGGCCAGTCCCGAATTGACTGCCCATGGTGCTCGGCTCGCTTGGCGTCTCCTGGGCGCCGACGGCGTTGCAGGAGCCCTGATCTCCGTCACCGGGGACGGGCCGCGCCCGCCCTGCCACACGGGCACGGGGGCCAGGACGGTCTCAGAGCCGTGGGTCCGCTGTCCCCCACGGTCCCCCGAGTGCAGTGGCCCCGGGTGAGTCATGTCTGCTCACCCCAGGCTTCCAGGCCTACGAGGTGCAGCTGGTGCTACGCCAGGCCCTCCCCAACATCTGGACGGCGCTGAAGGACCAGGGGGTGAGTGTCTGCCCGGCCCCCACCCCTTTGTCTTGTTTCTGGGCAACACCCCACGATGCTCAGGAGTCACTCCTGGCTCCGTGCTCAGGAAGTACTCCCGGCAGTGCTCGGGGGACCCCCTGGGAGGCCGGGGCTCGAACCCGCGTCTGGCCTCTCCACCCCTCCTCCACTGTCCGCCCTGTTCAGCCCCCGGGGCGGCCCGGGGGTCAGGGCTCTGCGCCCCCGCAGGTGACCGTGAAGAAGGTGAGCAGGCAGCACCGCTGGTACCTGGAGAGCGCGTCCCGCGAGCGGGAGAGCTGCTGGCGGGAGAAGATCCTGAGGTCGGCCCGCGGCTTCTCCCTGTTCTTCCAGATGCTGGTGAAGGCCCAGAAGGTAGGGGACCCACCGGGCCCCCCGCGGCCCCTCCCGGCCCCTCCCTGCTCGCTGGGTCGTGCGGGGCCAGGAGGAGTCGGAGCAGCTGCTCAGCGCGGGGTGCCTGGGGCCCTGCCCCGTCCCTGCAGCCTCCGGGGCGGGTGCGTGTGGAGAGAGTCACCCCCTCCCCAAACTGCAGAGTCTCTTTTCATTTTAAAATTCCGTTTCTCTCTCTGCTCCCGTTCCCTCCAAGTAGCCCCTCGTGGGTCATAATATGATGATGGACCTGCTGCACCTGCACGAGAAGTTCTACCGGCCCCTGCCAGGTGGGCACAGCCTCACCCCCCACCCCCGTCTCCCTGCCAGGTGGGCACAGCCCTGCCCCTCCTCCCAGTCTCCCTGCCAGGTGGGCATGGCCCCACCCTTCCCCCCTTCTCCCTGCTGTGTGCCCCTGTCCCCAGGGCCGAGGCCATGCAAGCAGGACACTAGCCGACCCCACGGAAGGGTCAGCTGGAGAGCAGAGGCTGCCTTTTCCTCGGCTGGGGTGAGCTCACCGTGTGTCTGGCCATTTCCTCCCAGAGAGCGGCCGCACCGTGAATCATGCCGTGGGGACAGTCCATGGCCGGGGCACAGTCCAAAGAGGGCTCAGTGGGCCCAGGGTTCAGCCCGCACCACACCAGGTCAGGAGAGACCCCTGAGCAGGCTGGGTGTGGCCTCAGGTGCCCCTTGCACGCCCCCCAAATAAGTTCAATAACCTGGACTTGTTTGTTTTCGAGACACACCCAGCAGTGCTCGGGTCGACTTTGTGCAAGGCAGGAGCCCTACCACTGTTCTTCTGCTCCAGCTCTGAACTTGGGTGTTAATGGCGTCAGATTCTAGGGTGCTGGGGATCCACTGCAATCCTGAGTGATGTCAGGAAGTGCCGGCAGGAGCGAGTCCTAGCAGAGCCTAGGGGTGCGGCCGCATCTGCCCCTGGATCATGATGTTCCAAGTTGGGGTGCCATCGGGCAGGCCAGCTGGGCAGGGAGCTACTGTCACACAGCCCAAACTGGGCGTCCCCCTGGCCATGTCAGGAGAACAAGCACCCCCACAGGAATTGAAGATGGTTTGAGGACTTAAAGGGTCCTTGCAGGGGCAGGGGTCATGCAGGTGCAGGGTCGAGCAGGTGCTGTGTTTGGCTTCGTCTGCAGGAGACTCTAAGTCCACTTGGGACCTGGGTGGAGCCGAGGGTTAAGACGCTTCCCCTGTATGCGCTTACCCTGGTCTGAGCCTCTGCCCCCATGTGTTCCCTGAGCACTGCCGCGTGTGTCAGGCTCTCCAAGAAGGTGTCTGCTGGGGTGTGACTAGTATAGTTTGAAATTAGTTGTTATTACTCTCTGCTACGCCAGGGATTGAACCCAGGGCCTCACCCGTGCCAGGCAAGACGTGCTCTCCTGCTGAGATGCACCCCCACCTTGTTGGGCCCCCTCAGGAATGCCTTCTGAGGGCTGAGCGCGTGCAGTGTGCTGAGACCTGGGTTTGGTCTCGAGTACCATCAAGTACGGCCCAAAGAAAGAAATGGAGGTCTTCCCCACCCAAAAACTGTCTTCTAGGCACTGGAGAGGCAGCCCCGTGGGCCGGGCTCTCTCTGGGGTCCTTCCCAGAACCCAGAAGTTCCCCTGAGCACCACAGGAGGAATTTTTTTTAACTTTTTTATTGAATCACTGTGAGACAGACACTTACAATGCTGTTCATGGTCGGTTTCAGTCATGCGAACAGGACCAACACCTGTCCAACAGTTCCAACACCCGTCCCTCCAGCCGTCCCATTCCCCATCACCAGTGTCCCCAGGTTCCCTCCCATCACCCCCCACCTTCTGGAGGAATTCTGCATGCAGAGCCAGGACAGGCCCCTGAGCATCACCAGGTGTGACCCCTAAAACACAACATTAAAAATAAGCCTGGGTGGGGCTGGAGCGATAGCACAGCAGGTAGGGCGTTTGCCTTGCACGCGGTTGACCTGGGTTCGATTCCCAGCATCCCATATGGTCGCCTGAGCACCACCAGGAGTGATTCCTGAGTTCATGAGCCAGGAGTAACCCCTGTGCGTTGCCAACTGTGACCCAAAAAACAAAAAGAAAAAAATAGCCTGGGAGTTGCTCTTCCTAGGCCGTTTCTCTGAGAAGGCCAGCGTGGCCTCGCTGCCTTCCCGCCGGATTGAGCGGGCACCGTTGGCTGTCCCTGAGTCAGCCGGCGGTGCTGTGGGTGCCTGCGCCAAAGTCCCCTTCACCCGGCCCCTGGCCTCTCCCTGCAGAGAGCTACGACGAGTTCAAGCTGAACATCCACAGACTGTTTCCCGTCCTCATCGACACCAAGAACGTCACCAAGGACATATGGAAGGTATTGGGGACACGGCGCCCGGGCTTGGTCCTTGCCACCCGCCAGGAGGCCCTCGGAGCACTGCTGGGCATAGTGCAGACACGTTCTCCCTCCCTCCCTCCCTCCTCTCTGCCTCTCTGTCTCTCTGTATCTCTGTCTCTGCCTCTCTCTGTCACTCTCTGTCTCTGTGTGTATGTCTCTGTCTTTCTCTGTCACTCTCTGTCTCTGTGTGTATGTCTCTGTCTCTATATCTCTGTCTCTGTGTGTGTCTCTCTCTGTCTCTGTCTCAGTCTCTCTACTCTGTGTCTCGCCCTCTAGGAACTCAACTTCCCCAGGGTTTCGAACCTTTCTGAAGTCTATGAAGTCCTGAACAGGTAAGGAGGGAGTGTTTGGGAACTCTTGGGCTCAGGGACACCCCACTGGGGTGATTCTGGCAGCTGCGGGCAGGATTCCACCAAGTTCCGTGATGGGCCAAGTGGCTGCAGGGCATGGGGCAGCCCCCCAGATCCAGAAGGCCCCAAGTTTGGGGGCTTTGCTGTTGGGTTCTGTTGGCCTAGGTCACCCAGCACTGCGCACCACACTCACAGTGGAAGCTCTGTGGGTTGGGGGAGGGGACTGTGGTGACCACTGCTAGGCTTTGGGACAGAGCTGGGGCCGCCTTCCCTTAGCCCCATGGCCCTGTGCCCCCCACTTCCTCCTCAGAGCCCCTGAGCTTCTCAGGGCCAGCTGGAAACTCGTCCCCTGCACAATTGAGTGTGTCCCCTCAGTGGACACCGTGCAGTGTGGGAGAGAGAGCCCCGTCCCGGCTCCCCCCCACCGAGCAGTGGACGCTGCCCCGTTGCGGGTTCTTTCTGTGTTAAGCAGTGCCATTAGCCTGCGCCTTCCTGTGGGCCCGGCTGCCTGGTGACCACCCAAGGGCCTGCCACTGGCATCTTCCTGGCGACAGGAGCCTGCGGGGGTCTGATTGTGCCTTCCTGACAGTGATCTGAACCCCACCAAGGGCTCCGGGCCGGTGATTGTTCACGCCAGCCAGTGTGAGAAGTACGGTAGGTCGGGGCTGGGCAGGGCGAGAGCAGGCCTGGGTCCCCCTGACTGAGGGGCCGCGGGGCTCCCTCCCACCTGTCAGACAGACGCCCGGGTGATGGGGGCACAGGGGGCCGGCGGGGCCTGCCCCATCTCCCGCTCTCTCCTGTTCCCGGGCCGCCCCTGCAGTGGAGACCAAGTACCCCCACGAAGCCGCCTACGACGCCTTCCTCTGTGGCTCTGGTGAGGGCTGTGCGCTCGGCCTGGGCTCCCCCTGGGCAGGGTGGAGGCGGCCGCACCTGTCACAGCCACCCTTTCCCTCCGCAGTGCTGCTCAAGGTGGCGCACCTACTCCTGCAGAGGGCGGACGGGTGAGTGTGTGCCCGTCGCTGTAGACCCACGGCTCCAGCAGGGGCCCCGGGCAGCGCGGGCCTGACGCCGCCGGCTTCTGTCTGCCCCGGCAGCGCCGCATCCACATCTGTGCCCTCCTTCTCACTCTACCTGGACGTGCTCACGCCCTACGTGAACCAGGTGAACCTCATCCGCGCTGGGGTTCCCAAGATCGTGAGTACCTTCCGCGGCTCCTACCCCGCCCACAGCGGGCTGTGCTGGCATTTCTTTTATTTATTTTTTGGCTTTTTGGGTCACACCCAGCGATGCCCAGGGGTTACTCCTGGCTCTGCACTCAGGGATCACCCTTGGCGGTGCTCAGGGGACCATATGGGACGCTGGGAATCGAACCCGGGTCAGCTGCGTGCAAGGCAAACGCCCTACCCGCTGTGCTGTTGTTCCAGCCCCTGGCATTTCTTTTAGTGTGTGTGTATGTGTGTGTGTGAGGGGGGGTTGTCTCTTAGGCGGCTTCCCTCAGGGGGCAGAGCAGGGGCCCCGGGGCTCGAGTCCCCAGGTGGGTTTTCTCTCTGCCGGCCCCAGGCGGTGCCTCTCAGCTTTTCAGGACTGTCCCAGGCGCGCCGGGGCGGAGCCGGTGGGACGTCCTGCATCGCCCTGCCCTGTCTTCTAGAACTTCTCGGGCCCAGATTACCCCAGCATCCGCCCTCCCATCCTCATCCTCAGCGTGCGGCGGTGGCCGGGCCTCAGCGAGCAGCAGGTGTACCGCGAGTTCCAGAACACCTGCAAGTTTGATGTGCGCCGCCTGTCGCGGGGCCAGTTCCTGCTCTTGACCAACAAGTTTAAGGAGTAGGAGCCGCCCTGCGCCCCGCACCCGCGTCCCACCCCTTTCCCCTCCCCCCCGCACCCTGCATCTAGACCCCCTGTGCCCTGGTTCCCCCACGCCCCACACCCCTGGACCACCAGTTCCCAGATTCCCGCGCCCGTGGTCTGAGGGCCCCTGCACTCTGTGACCCGGTCTCTGTGTCCCCACACTCTGGTCCCCGTGCCTTGTGCCCCTGTGCCCCAGCCCCGCATCCGGGCCCGCAGGCCTCAGCCGGCCGCCTTGTCCCGCAGTGCCCGGAGCATCCTGAAAGAGTACCGCGGCCACCCCACGCTGCAGGTGTCCCTCTACCACTACTGGCGACACTCCCCCAACATCAACTGCCTGCTCCAGTGAGTCACGGGGCGCGGCCGGGCGGGCAAGGGACCAGAGCTCGGCACCCCCAAGCCTCGCAGGCATGGGGCGGGAAGAGGGGAGGGCAGGCCCAGCCGGGCGCCAGCTCCCAGGGTGGGGGGCTGAGGGCAGTGTGTGCATGGGTGGGGGGGGGGGGGGCAGTACAGATGAGCCTCGCCCAGCCGGCCGGGAAGACCAGTTGGAGTGGTGGGGGGACTTGGACACAGCTTTATTTTTATTATTATTGTTATTATTTTTGCTTTTTGATTCACACCCAGCGATGCTCAGGGGTTATTCCTGACTCTGCACTCAGGAGTTACTCCTGGCGGTGCTTGGGGGCACTATATGGGATGCCGGGGATAGAACCCAGGTCGGCTGTGTGCAAGGCAAATGCCCTGCCCACTGTGCTATCGCTCCGGCCCCTGGACACGGCTTTAGCCCCGGGCCTGGAGTGTGGCAGTAGCCACCGTGGGGGAAAACCTTGGGCTGCCTCCCCTGGAACGTTCTGGAAGAAACGCCTTCTTTGCACCTTGGAAGGAGGGGTCTTCCCCGCTGGCTTCGTGAGGAGGATGGGAAGGAGAGAGTGCTTGGGGAGACAGTGGGGAAGATGTGGGTGGCGGGCCTGTGTGCCCCGGCCCCTGACCTGTGACCCCTGACCCCTGGTTGTCTTGCAGGGTCTGCAGCGTGGTTACCACCTGGGCACTCCTGGCGTTTCTCCTGGGAAGACCCAGCTCCTGAGGGCTGCACACGGAACCCCCGAAGCCCAGCCCCACTCCACCCCTCGGGCTGACCCTCCTGACGCTGGTCCGGCCGGGCCGTGGTCTCTGTAAACCTGGCCCTTGGCCCATAAAGGAGTCTGTAGCCACACTGCCTGCCTGGTCTCTAGAGAGGACGGGAGAAGGGCCCGGCTGGGTGTTGGGATGGGAGAGACAGGTCGGGGGGGGGGCCAGGGGTGGGCATCCCGGAGCCTTTGCCAGGGTGTGGGGGCAAGGGAACCCCCCGTGGGCACGTCCCGGCATCTGCCCCACAGGGAGAATCAGGCCAGTGGGCACAGGACGAGAGCAAACACTGGAGTGGCGGGCACCCCCCTTCGCCCTGAGCTGATGCCCCCCTCACCTTGGGTTCCCCCACCTCCGGCCCCAGGTGGCCTTGCTCTGCTCCCAGCTGTCCCCAGAGACCCTGGCTGGCCCTGGCCACTCTGCCTGCCTCTTCCCTCACAACACTGTCCCCTTCTGCCCTGCCTTGCGAGCTGGACCCTCCCCCCACGGCCCCAGGTGATCCCCAGATCCCCCACCCTGTGAGCACACATGGAAGTTGTCCAGGTAGGGGCTGACACCTGTGGAGCCCAAATGGGCCAAAGGCAAAAGCCCGAACAGAGCAGAGGACGCGCCTGGGACCACGGGCACCGGGAGGAAGGAGGGTGCCGCTAGGTGGCACCAGGTGGCGACACACACTGCACGCGAGTTCCTGACCCTGGGCACCAGCCGCGAAGTCACCAGCTCTGCTGTTGTCCACTGTGTCCTGGGCCCGCACTGTCCAGTCCTGGGATGCCGGCTCCCACCCACACGGGCAGTGGAGGGACCAGCCGTCCGATGGCAGGGGCTGCCCCGTCTAGAAGGAAGCTGGGGATGGCAGTGGTTCAGGAGGCGGCGGTGAGGGGGAGGGGGGTGCCTTTCCCAGAAAAACAGAGGTGGGGAGAGGCGGGTGGATTCACAGACTGAAACCCGTGACTTCGAAACAAACCTGGCATCCAACACCTTCCTGAGCCGCGGCGGGCACGGCCCCGAACCAGCGAATGAAGAAAGGAGACCAAACCCTCTTCGGCTACCAAGTCTCAGCTCTCCCGGGCTGGGTGGCTGGAGGAGTGATCAGGGGCCCGGGGTGGCTGGTCAGCTGTTGCCAGGCCCAGGAAGAAGAGGGCAGGAGGGGTCCGAGTTCTGCTCCTGGCCTCCGGCTGCTGTCTGTGAATAGAACCGGGGCCAGGAACATACAGTTCAAGCCAGAAGACTCGGGTTCGGGGCTCTGAGCAACAGCAAGGGTTTCCCTTGGCCAGCAGGAACACGCACGGGAGTTTCCTGGCTCAGGCTCCTACTGGGTGTCTGCGGGAGGCCATCCCGAGCCCCTACCTGCCCCACACCCTGGCCCGTGAAGAAAGGAGACCAAAGAAAGGAGACTCAGTGCTCACTGCACCCTCGACTTGGCTATTTTCTCCCACACCTGGTGGTGCTCAGGGCTTACTCCTGCCTCTGTGCTCGGGGAACACTCCCGGTGGGCTCAGGGGACCATATGGGGTGCTAGGGATTGAACCCAGGTCAGCTAGGTGCAAGGCAAGTACCTTACTTGCTGTACTATCACTTTCACCCCAGTTTTTTTTAGGCTATTTTTATTCTTTATTGAGTATCAGCTTAATTTTTTTTAAACTGAATCACCCTGAGATAGTTACAAAGTTGCTCATGCTGGATTTTGGGTCTTAACAATGTCCCCATGCTGGTCCCTTCCCCAGAGTGCATTTCCGCTTGGGTTTTATTCCAGCCTCTGGGGCCAGTGGTGGTGCCAAGGCTCCTCCCTTTCCTTCTCCCCTCTCTTTCTCTCCCTTTGGTTTTGGGGCCACACCCAGCAGTGTTCGGGGGCCATTCCAGGTTCTGTGCACAAGAGTGAGCCCTGGTGGTGCCCGGGATTGTGGGGTTGTTTTGGGGCCACACCCAAGCAGGTGCTGATGGTTTACTCCTGGTTCAGTGCTCAGCGATCACTCCTGATGGGGCTCAGAGGACCATAATATCGGGTGCTGTGGATCGAACCCAGTAGGCTGGGTGCACAGCAAGTGCCCGGAACCATTGTACTGTGTCCAGGCTGAAGGGACGTGCCCCACCCCTACACCGCCTCTCTGCTATCCCCACTGCCTCGTGCTCCGCTCACCCCGACATGAGCTCCGTGCAGGTTCCCGGCTGTCCCCTGCCCTCCCGAGCAGGTATTCTTCCCAGTCCATCAGGGACAAGGTGGCAGTCCCAGGCACCTGTGGAAAAACCCAGCCTTCCTGAGGCCTGTCCCACACCCCGACTGTTATCCCCAAGGTGCCCGGACACGTTGCTCACTGGGTCTGGGCAGGAGCCTGACCATGGGGCGAAGGAGGATGAGCACGCAGAGAAATCCCCCTGGATCAGTTGACTACAGCTCGCTTTATTGCCAAGTACACGTGAAGAGGGTCTTGGCTCGCAGAAGTTCCAGTCGCGGGGCTTAGCACTGTGGCCTGTCGCCTTCCCACTCTGTTTTGCCCCTGGCCCTGTCCCCTCGAGGCCAGATGCTGCGCTTAGGATGCCTTGCTAAAGGGACCTGGGGGTGGATTGAGGCTCAAGGCCGGACACGTGGGGCAGACACCCTGTTTCGCTAACTTGGCCCAGTTACTCATTTACTCCCCCTTGCGAGGTTTCACTCAGGGCCGCGTTGCAAGGTTGGGTTTTTGCAGCTCCAGTGCCCGTCGCCCTCCTCCCCACAGCGCCACGGGTCAAGCCGAGTAAGACGCACCACAAGCAAATGCAATTTGGCACCACGGCAGCACAGGGAAGGCGTGGGGGTGGAACCCAGGCTTCCACACACGCTGGCCCGGCCTGGCTCTGAGCGGCCCTTCCTCTTCCGTGCCCGAGTTTGATAACAGCCTCAACCCCTGGGCCTTGTCCATCTGCCAGGAAACAAAAACAAAACAAAACCCCACAAAGCCCAGGGGTCAGAGATGCACAATGGGGAGGGTGGGCGCCTTGCATGCAGCCAGCCCGGGCTGGGCCCCTGGGAAATGGTCCCCAGAGCACTGCCTGATGTGGCCCCCAAGCCAACCGCCCCCCCCCCGAAAAAGAAATGGCCCCATGTTCTGCCACTGTCAAGTACCAAGAGGGACCTCAGAGACTGCGTGAGGTGTGTGTCCCCAGACGCTGGGCCCAGAGACAAATGGTGGGAACTGGGCAGGCAGTGGGCAATGGAGGAAGTGGGTGGGTGGGTGGGTGGCATTAGGGTGGGGACTTTTTAAAAAAAAAAAAGGTTTCTAATGAGGTCTGCGGTTTCCAGCCCGGTCACTAGTCCCTGGTGGGGGCAGGGAATAGCCACGTCATACCCACCACCAAGCGCCAGCCTACAGGAAGTGGTGACTCATAAAAGCGTTTGTCGTGGAAAATGTTCAGCATAGGCCAACGCAGGAGCAGGAGCGTCCTCACCGCTCACGCGCCTCCGGGGCTGCGGTTTTCCTGGGCCCCCGCACTCTCCCGGACTGGGTGGGCACAGAGCACGGGGCCTCGTTTCCTCTCAAAGACAGAAAAGCCGAGAAAAAACCTGCACAACGACAAGGGCCGAACAGCGCCCCCAGCAGTCCCCACGCGCTCACCTGGCCCCTCTGTTCAAGTGTGTTGGCTGCTGCCTTCTTGGTGGTGTTGGTGGGGTCACACCTGGCGACACTCCTGGCTCTGCACTCACGACCCACTCCTGGTGGGCTCCGGGGACTCTACGGCCACGGGGGGGGGGGGGGGGGGTGGCAAGCGCCCTCCTGCCGTCCTCGCCCTCGGGCTTTTCAAACCAACAGGACCCTTCCCCTGCATTCGGCTCATCTCAGCCCTGCCAGGAACGAGGCCCGAGCACAGCTGAGTGTGGCCACCAAACCGAAACACACGAAAAGTCAACCAGCTTGTGGGGACCGGGTCTGGGGCTCAGGGGTAGGTGACTAGAGAAAGACACATATTTTTTTTTGGGGGGGGGGGATTGCTACACTTAGCATTGCTCAGGGCTTCCTCCTGGCTCTGCACTCAAGAATCACTCCTCATGGTGCTTAGGGGAACATACGGGGTGCCAGGGATTGAATCCAGGTCGGCTGCATGCAAGGCAAGTGCCCTCCCCATTGTACTATTGTTCCAGCAGCCAGGCTTTAAAAAAATTTTTTTAAAAAGTGGAACAAGGGGTGGGCGGGAAAGATGGCACAGCGGGTAGGGCATTTGCCTTGCACGCGGCCGACCTGGGTTCGATTCCCAGCATCCCATATGGTCCCCTGAGCACTGCCAGGAGTGACCCCTGTGCATCACCAGGTGTGACCCAAAAAGCAAAAAAAATAAAAAACAAAAAAAGTGGATCAAGGGGCTGGAGTGATAGCACAGTGGGTAGGGCGTTTGCCTTGCACGCAGCCCGACCCGGGTTCAATTCCCAGCATCCTATATGGTCTCCTGAGCACGGCCAGGAGTAGTTCCTGAGTGCATGAACCAGGAGTAACCCCTGAGCATTGCCGGGTGTGACCCCTCCAAAAAAAGTGGAACAAGATCAATTTTAAAAGGAGAGAAAGAGAGGGGGGGAGAGAGAGGAGAGGAGAAGAGGGAGTGAGAAGAGAGAGAGAGAGAGAGGGAGAGGGACGATAGGGAGAGAGGAAAGGAGAGAAAGAAGAGAGGGAGAGAGGGAGGGAGAGAGGGAGGGAGAGAGGAGAGGCAAGAAGAGAGAGGGAGAGACAGGGGACATCTTCAGGGCGAACATGGGCTTGAAAGAGTCATCACATGCGTGAGCGACACCGTCATAACCGAAACACTCAGCAACACTGAGAACACGAGATCTAAGGGGCAGCCCCCAGAGCTTTGTAATGTGAAGGGGCCAGGTGGGGACCGGCGGGGAGGTGGACACTGGTGTTGGGATTGGTGCTGAAATATTAGATGTCCAAAAATCAATTATCAAAAATTTTGGAAATCACAGTTCTTTAATAAGAAACTGTCACTGTCACT